CAAATAAAAGAATACTATAAACAACGTCAGTACTTAGAATCTATACTTCAAGACCATCGTGTAATATTTGTGAGGTTGAAACGGAATATTTACCAACAAGGTTTAGATATCTTACGAAGACACATTTTTAGAAAAAGGACGAGACGTGCTTTAACATACCCCTGGTTCATCAACTTTCTGCTCAGACACCGGTGTCGTTTTACAAAGTCTGAGTAGCAGCTGCAAGCTCTTGAATACCGAATGAGTTGAGAAATGTACATCCCATATGCAGTTGAAGTTGGTATATTGCTACTAAGGTGGGGAAAAATTGATAATTTCAAAATTAAAATCGTCTCGTTTGTCATATATTCTGACCGATTATGTCAAATTCGAGGTATAAATATACAAATGAGGCAGAGGAAGCCGTGTCTCTTCTTTCTTTAATTTCTAGTTCTGGAGGATATATTAATGGAAACCAATCAAAAAAGTTTGGATTGTTAATGGAAAGAACATCATCAATATATCTGGATGTAAAATTAAATGATCTGGCTTCCTTGATCTTCTTGTTTTTGACAAATATCTGAAGGAACTCCGCCTCATATGAAAATAACAAGAGGTCGGCAAGGAGAGGCGCACAGTTTGTTCCAATAATGCCGACAATTTTTTGAAAAAGTCTACCTCCAAATTCAACAAATATGTTGTCAATAAGATACTTCAGCATACTGATCACTTGTTCCTCTATGTAGCATGTTTTACTTTTTTGTTCACTAATAACAAAATATGCCGTATGGTATCCCAAAGTAATAAATGTATAGCGTATGATACCATTGTTATGTTGAAAAGCATTGTGTATTATTTCTTTTAGACAATTTTAGAATTTCACTTGGTGGTAAACAGGTTTGAAAAAATCAAAAGTTATGATAGAACTAATTTCAGAGAAAGATCGAGATTTAAAGTTATCCAGAAGTTCTTTTGAGTTTTTTAGAATCCACATATGGTAAATACCACTACGCGAGTAAACAGTTTCACATTATTTCTGAAGACCCTTTCTCACTGCGGACAGAATCTTTGTCAATCTAATGGACAATTATATCATCGAACAAGCAAATGAGCCGGCAATGTACCGCTGTTAGTACGGAATTTTGTGAAGCTTAGGTATGGAATACATACAAGGTATGTCCTCCGATTTGCTGTTCAATGTAATGTTCATTGCAGCTATGAAGGACTTATGATTCGCCAAAATCTCATCTTTGTCAAATGATATGTTTTTATATGTGGAATTACCTGATTGCTCATTTATTCCTAATTCTTTTACAAAACACTCGTAGTAGTACGATTTACATACAAAGACAATATTATTTGAAGCTTTGTCCGCAAGAACAACAGCATACTTATCGTGAAGAGATGATAGACATTTCACAGCCTCTTTGTCTCTGAAAATGGACTTTGGTCGATCATTCACACAGGTTTTCAACGTTGAATGCGACGTTTTATCAGAGATCTGATTGTTTTGACCCGTTCTGACAAAATGACCAGTTCAACTTCTTCTCGTATAGCCCATGCTCTAGCGTAGTCCTCAATTGATTCCATGATTATTTTGAAGTTATGGTTCTGATGCACCTTGGATCGTCTTGAATTTGGGTGGGTTTCGTGTTGTTCCCTTTAAAGTTTTCTTCCGCCTCTATTGCTATTGTTATTGCAAATTCATTTATTGGTTTGAACGATAAATGTAAATTCACTAAAACGCTTAGAAAGCACGCAAGTCATTAAATGTTATTTTCTTTAAATGCTTTAAAGAGTTGAATATTGATAGAAATGTGTACTCTGTATATATACATATGACTAAAGTGAACAAGATTTAGTTCCATATCCTGAGTGAGGAAATTTTATATGTTTCGCCTCTCATTTTGCACCAAAAAACCCGCTTGCATTAACTCTTATATATTCCCTTTTCCACTCACCCTCTTTTTCAGTTATAATTCTTTTTTTTATTCGCACAGTCAAGAAACGTAGCATAAATAATCTGGTCATTAAAATACTAAACTATTTGCCACTGAACTTGTAACAAGCAATAATTAACCGAACTATCCATGGTATCACTTTTAGAGCAGAAACTGCTAACCCTTAAGGGTTATAAGGGTTCACCCCTGTTTTTTTTATATTTTCATTTGGTCATGATGTTGTTTGTTTTTATTGGATAGTTAACTATTGTTCCCTTAGTATTTTTGTTTATTATTTATGCAAAATATATTGATGCATACGATTTTATTGCCAAATATGTATTATAACTTGAATAGGTTGAAAAAAATATATGGCCTATGGCCTAGGCATCGTTAAGCTATAGCTTTTGGGAAAGAAGTTGGTTTCGAAACTAATTGAAAAAAATGTACCTGTTAACAGTAGAGATGCAAGTTCATCTGCGATTAGTTGAAACAGAGATCAAATCGGTATGCGTAGATTTTAATGTTGAAGTGTTTGATTAGTTTATATTGGAATATTTTACAAAGAGTTTCATGAGTATGTTAAAACGAAATCGTTACTAAGGCACATGTGTTTGTTTTGACAATAATTAAGTCGAAAAACATATTCAAACCAACATGCATTGTTAGTTTTTTTAAACAAAATAAAACATAACTCTACTTCGTAGATATTATTTCTGTTTACAATGTTTGTCTTTTTCATTTTGGAATACTTTTCTTATTTGCCAATCAGGCAATAGTGCAGTTACTACTCTTATTAGTTGTATATATAATTTAATTAAATGGTAAGACACGATTGTACAGTGTTATATTGCGCATATAACTGTTTGGTAAAAAACGCAAGACTCTAAGAATGATCATGGTGTTAAATAAGTTTGGGAAAAATTCTCTTTTCCATAAAAACGTTATGCATCAGGTCGGCTGTCGCAGAATTTCCATATATGTTCGTTACGATAATTTAACACAATACTTTCTTGATATTTCTCCCATAATTACACCTACAACAAAAATGTCAAACGTAATTGTTAAAACAAAAAAAACTAGATGTTATAAGCATAGTGGAGTTTTGTACCAATTTGATTGAAAAATTGGACAATAAATAAGAGGTGACAGTAGTATATTGTTTATTTCATCAATGCATGATTTGTACTTCCAATTTATTTATTTATCTAACGTAGCAAATTGTAAGCCTTGTGTCATTGATTAGACTAGAACGGTTCCACTGCTTCGTCCACTAGAGCATCACCAGCCTAGGATTAGTTCTTTTGTGTTGCTCTTCAACTTCGTATTTGATTTGACATTCCAACTAATTTGATTCGAGCGCTACTGGTGGGTCTTATTTCGACGAGAAAAAATTCTGGCATATCAAATTATTAGGTAGGTATCTCTCATGAGTATTAAATCACTGGATTGAAAAGTTTTTGTCCACGAAGGCTTCATGTGCCAAATAGTCAGAACGTCTGTGTTGACATACAATATCAACTATGCGGTCAATTTTTGTAAATCTTTGTTAAGAAATTGAAGCAATTTTCAAAACACTTCAGTGTTTTCTATCCAGGTATATATGTAGATGACATAAGCCGTATTTAGCACAACCCTTTAGAATATTTCTCGTTCAATTTTATTCAACATCGTTGGGTCCCACTAAGACGAAACACGTGTCTGGCGTAGTAAATTATAAGCCTCGTAGCTTTGATGAATTTCTAACCCCCAATAATTAATCTGTACGCAATTCAAAAGGCCCACCTATGGGTTCATTTCTGTTTACTATCAATTAACTGTTGTAGGTTTCAATTGAATGTGTGTCCGTTAAATTCATTCATCACTTGTCAGTGTGTGAAAAACTGTCTTATGAATAGATAAGGGACATTAACAGGTCTGCTTTTGTATGGTGCATACTCACCAATTATGAATAATTGCTATTTTTTAACCAAAGTTTTGTTGTTGATCAGAGCACTAACGAGCGTGTGAGACCATGAGGATATCGTCAGAACCAGGAGGCACTCCATTGGCACTGACAATATTTACCACCTTCATATTCATTTGAGAAACTAAGGTAACAACTCCCTCAGCCAAATTGACTCGCTAAATGTTTTACTTATTCTGTTCATGTCGGTTTTGGTCATATAGCTGTCCAAGAATTTTCTTCTGGATTTAAATTATTGGTGTTTAAGAGTTCTTAAAGAAGATAAATCTAGATAGGCATGTCAAACACACCACATTTAAAAAAACATTTGTTTTTTTTTATTTCCTAGGACGTAGTGAACACCTTTAATGTAGGCTTTATATCTTACAATATCATTACTTAACAATACTGGCAGAAATTTAAAGCATACTTTACCTAATTTGGGTGATCAAATTATAAAGTTTTTACTTCATGATGATGTAATTCCAAAACAAGCCTCTCCAAATCAAAGGGTTTAAAGTTTAATGGCTCGATTAGGTTCCACCTCATTCAGTCACAGTTGACATTAGATTGTTTGGGTTCTTCTGGGTAGGCCCTGTTTAGTCATATCTAGCTCCTCAATAAAATTAAAAATGGAAATGGTGAATGTATCAAAGAGACAACAACCCGACCAAAGAGCGGAAAACAGCCGAAGGCCACCAATGGGTCTTCAACACAGCGAGAAAATTCCGCACCCGGAGGCGGGCTTCAGCTGGCCCCTAAACAAAATGTGAGATTCAATTCCCTGAAAACTATTGATACATCCGCGGTTGAGAGATCCTGAAAAATGTTAAATCAAACTTGTACATCTGACGGTTTGGACGTTATTTGCGGTTTGTAATTGTTATAATAAGAAATTGTGTCTGGTGAACTTTTCTTGGATGTAACGGTCTCGTCAATTGCATAAATGATAAGTGCCAATGTTGCCAACAAGGACCGTTTCAAGAGCTGCACAGGACCGGCTAAATATTGATATATGTATATGTTAGTTTTCAGAAAATTGAGTCTCATGTGTATACCCCTTTCAACTACATTTTACGTATCGTGTTTAACTTCTGTCTTTGCACGAGGCTGTGGATAACAACAACCACTTTCTTTGATATTTTAATGTGTAAAGCAAACAATCAATGTACAGCAGAAAAAAAATAATAAGCAAATACAATTAGAGGTTGGTTACTATATTTTTTGATATTAGAAATTAAACTTAAATGTTGAAAAACATTTATTCATGCAGACCTTTTTTTGTATGTTAAAATACTTTCGATTTTGACTTAACAATGAAATGCTACAAAAGGTTTTGGTTTCTGCATGGAGAGCTTGCATATTTCACAACAAACATATTCAATTTATAAAAAAAAACATATCTTATTTACAAAAGATGAAAATCTGATTGATAGTTCAAAAGTTCTGAACGCTCTCTGTTTGAGGCATTGCATAGACTAACTGAAGAAAACTAGCCTATAAATTATTTCACGAAAGAGATATAATTGGGAGAACCCTGACAACAATTGAAAAGTGTCATGCAGTCAGTTGCGTTGGGTGGAGATGGACTCGTCTAAAACCACTGACCACTGAATAATATATATATATATATATGTGTAGGACTATAAATGAAAAAAAAATATGATTAGGTTTATTGAAAGCCTATAAAATTACTTTTAGTTCCCGAAAAACCATTGCAATTTTCTTTAGAAAAATAAAAGGTTTTGATAAAAAAAAATGTGATCTATAGCCGTCTCTTTAAAACTACAAAACAATCTAGGTGTATTGCAAACAGAAATTTGACAATTGACACAAATCATTTTGAACTTGTATATATGATATATATACAGCTACTTTAAGAGATTTTGATTAATAATTGTATACATATTGTAAGAATATTACGGAAATCTCATCCTTGACCTCTAAGAAAATATGTAGTAAAAAAAACATGAATATATAGCATACCAGTTATACAACTAACTAAGGTATCGACTTTAACTTATAAATGAAGCAAAGCATACCCACCACCTCTAAAGTAACAAAAACATATGTAGTTATCAAATTTACATAAATATCACACCATTCATACATGTATAACTAAAGGTTATTGATAATATAAAAAAATAAAAAGCATTAGCAAAAACTAAAAAAAAACTAATATATTGAAGAAAAAATCAAATCGCCAAACATAAACAAAAAGAATATTTTTTTGCACCTGTCCTAAGTCAGGAACCTGTTGTTCAGTGGTTGTCGTTTGTTGATGTGGTTCACAAGTGTTTCTCGTTTCTCTTTTTTCATATACATTAGACCGTTGGTTTTCCTGTTTGAATGGTTTTACACTAGTCAATTTTGGGGCCCTTTATAGCTAACTATTCGGTGTGAGCCAAGGCTCCGTGTTGTAGGCCGTACTTTGACCTATAATGGTTTACTTTTACAAATTGTGACTTTTATGGAGAGTTGTCCCATTGGCACTTATACAACATCTTCTTATATCTATCAAATATTTTCTGTAACGAGTGTTCCTGAAGAGATACAAATGTTATGCGTTAACTCAAAGTCTTTTTTACAGTGGATTATCACAAATAGAACGTTCCAACGAATGAATATGATTGTAGTCAATCTGTCTTAAAATCTTGAAGGGGGTATTCTTATGTGTTTATCTTGTAAAAAAATTTAAATGTTTACTCTAATTTCTGTAAAACCTGTGCTATCTTTCCATCCTTGATGTTGTATTGTTTTGTGTCGATTGATTTCTTCTTTTTCAGATTATAAAAAAAATGTTGACTTTCGAAGTATAGCTTACATATACACAGATTCATGTTAACTAATATGTGAAAACTATATACAGAACTGCAAGGAATTAATCGAGCTGCATGCACTACGCGTTTAAATGCAAGCATTTTAACACTGAACGTTGTATTGAACAAGTTGATTATGTTATCGAAACTTCCGAAAAATCCCACCAAATTTGCACAAATCATACTAGTTTAATCACTAGACTAACATAGCTTATATCATTAAAACTTTCATCCTTACTTATTAGTGTTTCGTGGGTTATATGACAGTCTTATATGTGAGTTGGCATAACATGGGATATTTGTTATTTGTCATTTTGTTTAAAGCAATATGACCCTTACAATGAGCAATGTGGAAATTTGATATAAAATTAGTATATATGAATACATTGGAAAGATAAATACATCCTCTTAAATTAAATTATTACACAGTACTATAAAAAAACAAACTCACCAAAGATACTTATAACTTATAATTGAATATTTTATGAACAATAAATTTACAGAAAATGAACTTCTACTGGTTATTCCTTATCAACATAACGTAAACTTCTTTTATGACATGAACATTCTCTGAAACAACTAAATTTTAAAGGTGACTGATTTAAGTAAGTACAAACATAATGCAAACATAAATTATCGCAATAATGTATCTATGATCCTCTTTAAAAAATGAAAACTTTAATTGAACTAGATTTTTAATTGAAATTAGAGTGAACTAATTATTATTCTTACTTTGTGTGAAATTGCAATGTAACATTTACTGTATGTTTCTGCTAATGTGAATTGTTTGCATACAGGACGTATACAAACTCCTCTGCATAACACTAAAACAATTATCAACATGTTAGAATTTGAACTATTTTAATTCAGTTTTTGCCAAAAAGAAGTTATCTCACAGAAAAATTAAGTTTTAAATTACCTACTAATTATTTAAAACTATAAAGGCTATACGCGACATTGTAAAATTGAAGTGATTTCTTGTAATCTCAAGATTTATCTATAAGAAATAATGAATAAAGCACATTTTGAATAAATTGTTTGAAAGTAAGACACAAAGCATCTTGTTATATCAAAAATAATATATTGCTTATATACACTGTATACATCTGATATTAATTGAGGTAGACTTTTTCGAAAGCTAAGTATGGGCATATACATAAAGTCTAACCAGTTCACAGTGAATACTATTGAAAACAAAAGTTTACTTAGTTTAACATTCAAAGCGCAGACGTTAGAAATTAAACATGTTACTACCTAAAAATATCTTGTTTCAAAATACAATCAAAAGTAGATCAAAGCATCTAGTAACGTAAAACAATTCACATATTTTGTTGAGCTAATTTATGAATAACAATAAGAAAATAGCTCACACCGAATATTGTAATTTTGAAGGATAAGAAGAACAGGTGAATAATGCATTGATCAGCTTTGAATTTATCTTTTATTTTAAAAAGAATCGGAACGATCGATGCTGGTGTAACAGAATCACAGTATTGCTAAGCCTGTTACCCGAGATATTATTTCATCTTAAATAGGAAATATTTGAAGAATTCTTATTTAACTAAGCTCTAAAAAGGACAACATACAATAACTCAAATACTTAATCTGCAATGTATAATACAACATCAAAGAAAGTAGATAATGTGTGTATCATATTTACAAGTGTTAACTGACATTAAGCATATGATTACAGAACAGCAATTGTACATGTGTGTTTAAATACTAAAAATGTGCATTTATCATGTTAGTAATAATCGTTTATTGAATCTGTAGGATTGTTAATGTAAGTAAGATCAAAGACACAAATTTATAAACATGGTTCAAAAGAAGTCTGTCAAAACGTTTTCAACGATTTTTATATTTTTGCCAATGTTGTTGAAAGCCTGACCGATGTGTCTGAGTGATGGTCTAATAGTTTTTAAGCTACAAAATGTAGTCTTCCACTCTTGCAAAATATCTCGGTTAAGTTTTACCAAATCTCTGTCATTTTGTTTGAATCGGATATGCTCCCAGGTTGCAAATTCCATTCCAAGCTCAACAAGAAATGCCAACGAGTTGTTTCCAACTAACGGAGCCAGTTTGTCGAAATGTTCCTCTGAAGGTACCAAGTCCCATTTTTCTGGTTCCTGATCTAATATATTGAAAGATATTTCATTTCTATTTATTTAATTATGTGCTCCATATATTGGCAAATTCGGAATTCAATCTTGTAATCAGATATCTACTTGTCGAGATCTTTCCCTTGGGAGGGAAATACAGGTTCATTGACTAGCGGAAAAGAAAACAAACTTATCTTTGCGTACTGTGCGTATTTTTTTTATTTTTTTTATTTTTCAAATATTCTAGTTACATTTAATCTTTTGTTAAGCTACACAACATTTAATAACAATATTAATGTATCATTGACAATTGGTTAAAACTCCGAAAAATCGCTTTCAACTTATACATGTTATAATGGTTTGCATGGGCAGTAGCCAATTTTGTCCGATTGCAAACTAGTTTACAATTGGCAAAGGGAAAAAATATTGTGTTAAACGTGTGTTATATCAGATTCAAAAGAGGCGAATGACATCAATGGGTCAATCAAACTTGTAAGTCGAAAACGAACTGATAATGCCATGGAAAAAAACAGGATAAATGACCAAAAGACAAAAACAGTACACAAAAAAAAACACTGAAAACTACCGACTGAGCAACACGAACGACCCAAAAACCGAGGGTGATCTCATGTGCTCCGGAAAAGTAAGCAGATCCTGCTCCACATGTTGCACCCGTCATATTGCTCATGTTAATTCAAACCCAGTGATAAATCTTATTCGATATTTATCCGTCGTCATCTTCCAAAAGGGTCAACCAACTCGATGGCGTCCATAAAATTTTGAACGGATAATTTTAACTTCAACTCTTGGTTTAAAGGCTTCCTTGCATCCCTCTATCCAGGAACTCATAATCGGAAATGCAAGCTTTAGAATATTGTATCAACTGACAAAATATATACTCTATATTGTCCATTCTATTGGAATGTTTCTACATAAAAACTGAAAATTAACAATTGGGAAACTGAAATGATCTCTCTGTCGTAATGTTTTGTTCTCAACCGACTAACATTGTCAATTTCTAGATGTATACACAGATCGGTAATTTGGAAATAAAATGTTGTAAGAATTATTATCTCAGGAAAAAACGATAAACTTTGTTTACGACAAGAGTCATATATTGACATTCTTTTTTAAAATGTTAATTGATGATAGTCCTTTACATGTCTAATATATAGCTATCATGGCTTTTTGTTAAACTTACCGAAGTCAATTGGCTGTCCTCTCACCACCTAAAATATGATTACCAAGTATTAGTTTGCAGGAAAGGAAATATTTAATTTTATATATTTTGTGAGAGAAATTTGAAGTAAACCATTGAAAGTCAAGGATATATAAACCGTTGAAGAATGATAACATAAATTTTTGAGGTACAAACTGCACGCAGACAAGGAATATGAGCTAGACAGGGTTAAATTAGTTTTCAAGCATCAATTGAACTAACCTTGCAAAGAGTGTGTGGGTTCTGTATTTTACCACTTTTAACAGCTTTTCTTATTTCATTAAATGTAATATTAGAACCATTAAGACATCTACGAAGTATTTCAAAGTTCAACCTTTCTGGTTCTTCCCCAAATGTCTCATACAGCCTTTCCCATGTGTTAAACTGCATTCCTAAATGAATTGCTAACTCTTTAGTTTCGTTTACGCTGTACTGCATTGACAACCGACGCAGATGAATATCTGTTGGAAACTGCTTCAAGAATTCAGTATCGGTAGCTAAAAATTTCAAAGAATAATGAGTTTCTAAATATAAAAGAAATGCAGTAATAAGGACTGCTTATACGTAATAAAGGCTATTACAGAAATACTTGTTAAACGCAAGTAAATCATATCACACATGTATCTTATCGCTTGGTATCCTTTCTAAGGAATTATTATTTGCCGAATGTTTCAACCCACCAAACAAGACATTGCTTCATGGCATGATCAAAATATTTAATTAAAACCTTGTTTCTATTTTTTTTCATGCTTTCAAACATTTTATAAACTATACTTACTTTCCCATCTTTAGACTAGAATGTACCTGACAGGAGTTATTCCAAAAATATTCCTATGCTTGTATTGAGAAAAAAATTTAATCGAAAAAAATTTGAACTCCAAGCAAAATTCAAAACGGAAAGTCCCTAATCAAATGGCAAAATCAAAAGCACAAACACATAAAACGAATGGACAACAACTGTCATATTCCTGACTTGGTACTTGAGACTATCTATTGTTTGTGACAAATTGTATGAAACAATAAAAACACAAAGGGTATATACATACTAACACAAATACGCGTTATGAAATTACAAGCGTACGAATAAACAAGTTAAAAGTTTTATGCTTCGATAAAGTAAAACCGTTCTTCTTTGTCCATTCCCAAAATTGGGAAATGGTCTACCACTAGTATATATTTAAGAAGTCTGTACGGATAAATTGTATGAGTCTAATTTTAATCATGAATTATGCACTGAAAATCATAATTTCTTGTCATACTAGCTTTCGACCAAAACAGTAACTTTTCAATAAACTGTAAATTTTTACAAAACATGATATAAATCCCTAATAAATCAGTTATTTCAAACATATTTTTTTTAAATTAAGATAATGTTAAAATTGGTCAAATATGAATTACCTGGGCATGCCATTCCACACTGAATTTCCTCCTGAAAAATAAATATAATAATTATTGTTAAATTAATTTCAAAATAAGAAACACATTGCTACTTAATTACAATGTATATTTGTAAGTCATATTAACATTTGTAAATGTGGCGTTTACTGAATTATTATTTGAATTTAATGCAAAATAGTTTTGAAGTAAACATTAAAATCTACATCTGTGCACTTTAGAAAAAAACCAAGTTCATAAATGGCTTTAACTATGGAATTGTCATATGACATGATAAATATGGATCTTCAAAAGGAAAATACGTCTGCATAACGGTGTATGACAACACGTACACTGTTCTTCTTGTATCAAAGAAAATTTATAGGTATAACGTCAATTCAGACTAAGCCAGTTTGGTTTAAAAACAAACTTATTTTCTAATTTCTAAAACGCACTGGTTGTTACGAAATAAAAATAACCCTTTACAAACTTTGCGAAGGCAACACGCTTTTCATGATTTATTATGGACGCTGAAAACCAAAAAAAAATGTTTAGGATGTATAAGTACTCAACAACGTGAAGAGCTATATCACCAAAAGGAACTCTAATATACCATCCAGACTCGTCTTATGTCAACTATCCATGAGGGATTTAAAACTTTTGCTTCTTAAAAGGTACTAATTTATCATTTCCTTCCACATGTTCCATCAACATTTCAATCAGATATAAATACAAGTAAAAAAAAAAGAAAGAAGATACTATAGTGCAGTCTGGTTGAAAACAATAAATTCAACATACAACAGAATTACCAAAAAAATACTAAACAGATCAGTTTACAGTCCACAGATACCTAAAGATTGCGTAATATGAATAAAACAAATATTCTGATAACCAAACAAGTTTCATGAGTGACAAAAATGACGCACGTGCTGTTACTCATTTAAGAATATGTGTCGCCCATCATTTATAACTGCTTCATACTGGCAGTACAAATTTGACTAAACAGTTTGATCCAAATGTGCACGAAAATCAATTAATTGGACCAATTCATAAAGAAGCACGTATAATTCGCATGCTCAAATTAACCTTACATCATTGTATTTTTGTAATGAAAAAACGACGATCGTTTTGTCTACTTTTTAATTGAATCGCATTAATTACAATTATATGATGTTGATAGAGTTGAATAAAATTGAGAATGGAAATGGGGAATATGTCAAAGAGACAACAGCCAAACCAAAAAGCAGTCACACTAAACTCCAAAACATATAAATGAACTAAAGTTAAAAAAACATACAAGACTAACAAAGGCCAGAGGCTCCTGACTTGGGACCGGCGCAAAATGCAGCGGGGTTAAATATGTTTTGTGAGATCTCAACCCTCTCTCTATACCTCTAGCCAATGTAGAATAAAGAAACACAAAGCAATACGCACAGTAAAACTCAGTTTAAAAGAAACCCGAGTCCGATGTCAGAATAGGTAACAAAAGAAACTAAGCAAAATGACAATGATACATTAATGAACAAAGGACTACTAGCAGTTACTGACATGCCAGCTCCAGACCTCAATTAAACTGATTGAAAGATTATGTCTACATCATATGAAAATCAAGTACAATCCCTACTGTTAGGGGTTTAGTATCATACCATCATAAAATATATGAGAAGAACATAACCCGTATCATGCCAACAACTGGTTTTAGAATAAATGTGTTTATTTCTGATGCAAAGACCCTATGAGTGAATCAATATTAATACCAAAATATGCAATCCTTAATGACTTGACAACAGTATCGTAACTATATCCTTTTCGAATAAGCCTGTTTAAAGGTTTAGTTAGCTTTAGAGGTGAATGACGACATTTTTGTGCTTTATAAAGAATATTACCATACAATATTGAATGTGAAATACCCGAACGTATAAGATGTCTGCATGTTGATTTATATTAACGAATGATGTCCTTGTACCGATGATAACATTTAGTAAATGTTTTGACTAGTGATATCGAAAACCCTGGTGTAATGATTTTTCAGTAATACAGAGATTTCTTTCGTTGAAATCAAATACGTTGTTACATACAGGAGCGAATCGAACAAGTTGAGATTTATAAAAAAAACATAAGATGGCGACAAGGGAACGTCACCATCTAAAAACGGATAATTAACAATAGGAAATGAAAATTCATTTCTTTTATCATAAATTTTGGTATTTAGCTTCCCGTTAAAGATAAAGATATCAAGATCCAGGAAAGGACAGTGTTCATTGTTAGTATTAGCTTAATTTAAAGTCAGTTCTGAAAACCATTAGAAACCACAATGTTACATGTGAGAAATCTGCCTGTGGATATTTATGCATTTTGGGTAGAAATTCTTCGGTTTTGAATACGTGTGAGATTCTATAAACAGAGAAATCGTATCATTGATATTTAATGTCAGCGGAGAAGTACTGATTACAGGGTCGATGATATTCTTGGATTAAAACATCCACCAGCAAAAAAAAAAACAGTGAAATAAGTTTTTCGTTTTAAATATTCATTATTTGTTTTTCCAATTATCAAAATTTGTGTTAGAATATATGTGCAATTTGTATGATATCGAAAAATGACTTAACTATAATCAAGATCTGGTGAATTTATCTTGAATGTTGAATTAACATTAATCACTGAAAACATACCCAGAAAGTAATATATTGTCATAGACTTTTTTATTTCCGTATTAGTCTCACAACTGTAATAAAGAGTTAAATCCCTAGAAATGCGGCAATGAAATACATGAATAAATATGAAAAGGTTCTTCAATTTAGCCTAATTTCATTCTTGTTCATTAATGGTATTACCTTTTGTAGGGCCCAAGAAGATAGAACATCTTTGGTGTGCTCAATTCCATGCTTTGGACATATCCATGTATCATCTTGTTCTTGTAGTTTACACATGGACAGGAGACAGGGATCAACCGGTGAACTACAACACAAACTAAGGCTGAATGAGGCTTTACCTGTAACAGATCCTGTGCTGCTTGTTTTTACGTAAAGCTGGCTAATTTTCTCGAGCGCAACAGCCAAACATTCCCTTATACTAGATGCTAGATCTCTCATTATAAGTGCTCTATTTGTTGAATGAACAAGGCGGACAACAATGATGTCATCATCACAGTTGACACACATATCTAGAGATGGGTCGATTGTAAAAACTGCAGACATATGAAACAGCATTTCACCAATTTCCTGTCCGTACCTTTTCACTGCAAATAGACTCAAGCAATAACTGACAAATCGAAATGATAAAGCTGGAGGTATCATTGACGATAATGAACTAAATGCTATACTGATGTTTCTTTGTGAAAAATTTGGCGACTCTAGATAGCCAGTTGTATCCTTGGTTCTAACCATGCTTGCAATGTAGTAGAATTCGGCTAGTATACGTTTGTGCGATGTATCATACCGTTTTGGTTCAACTAGGATATCAAGATGTGTCATGACTCCTAGTAAATATTCCTTATGTTCTTGAAACTTCTTGTATTTATTCTTCTTCCAGATTTCTTCGATAGTCTTCTTGCCGATAACGCCTTTCTGACTCATCAAATCCCAAGAGTCCTGTCTCAATCTGTCATCTTCACAGAATCTCCTATCAGTTACGATTGATTTAAAGGCATCAATCATGTGTGTCGGTGCAAGAATAATGTGCTGATCCAAATTGACTTCGTCAAAGTATAAGATTCGTCCAACAGAATGCTGAAACTTTAGAAATACTTTCAATTCCTCTTCTGTCAGTGGCCGAACAGGCTGAACGTTGTTTATTGTTTGCATATGCTCCATGGTTATCAAAGGAATGTTGCGATTTAGAAGTGAATCAAATTCTAGTTTAAGAGGAATGAAGCATTTAGGAAGTTTCTGGCCCCATGTAGGTTGCTCCATGGCTTGTTCAATTATGATCTTTTTGATCTTGGTCATTTCTGGATCATGCTTGTTCCTAGCATTTACAAAAATCTTATCTTTAATGACTAAATGGGATAGCAACGAACTTCCAGAAAACATCTGTTCTATGTCATGGAATAATTGTTGGCGTTTCGGTTCAACGTCTAGCTGTGAACGATAATGAAATTTTATACTTTAAATGTTAGCATTTTGTTAATAAATCAATACAAATGTTACCCCTGAAAAGTACATTTTCAGTTTAATTGGTGATTTGCTAAAATTAACTTCTTTATTGTACGTATACAAGGAGTAATGATAACATTTAGCACATGAACAATCATTTTGTTAACCGTTTTAGTCATTTTATTCCAATCAAAATTATGAAACCATTTTTTATTTAAATTAACATGATAGTGTACTTTCATATCTTGCCTATTGTGGTGGATATACATATGGATGTGTACTTTTTAATTGTGCATTAAACCAAAAGTCGTAATGTTATTGTTTTCATTGAAATAAAACGACTAAAATGTTAAATTCAAATATAATTGATGGAAAAAGAGCGAGTACGGTCAATGGTGATTTGCTAAAATTAACTTCTTTATTGTACGTATACAAGGAGTAATGATAACATTTAGCACATGAACAATCATTTTGTTAACCGTTTTAGTCATTTTATTCCAATCAAAATTATGAAACCATTTTTTATTTAAATTAACATGATAGTGTACTTTCATATCTTGCCTATTGTGGTGGATATACATATGGATGTGTACTTTTTAATTGTGCATTAAACCAAAAGTCGTAATGTTATTGTTTTCATTGAAATAAAACGACTAAAATGTTAAATTCAAATATAATTGATGGAAAAAGAGCGAGTACGGTCAATGCTTTGAATTTGAACTGAATGAAAGGAAGCATGACAAACTACAGAATTATTTGAAATGTAAAGACAGATTTATGAGGACACTAGAACACACCCACGACATCTCTGGTCCCCGCTTGAATTAAAGTACCTACTTTTTATTCTAACCTTGAATTTTAGTATTCGTGTTGTCATTTGATAAAGTAATGCTGATTATAAGGTGCATAGTTTTCTCTGCTTTCAAAATCTTTCTGTTTGAACCCGTCTTGGTTTCCTCACGACAATATAGTAGTGGTACACAAAAAGTGAAGGGAAAATAAAGGAGAACTAAACCGGAAACTACATGTGACCTATACTATTGGTATCGGTATCGGATTCGACCCGGAACTTGTTAATTATTGGTAAGATTAATAATGTTGAAAACAAAAGGGTCTGGAATGGTGTAACTTTTAACCATGATTTTCCTATATTAAGTATATCTAAAGTTGAATTCCTTGAATCGTCGTGTTTAGTGCATGCCGGATTACAAATTGGACCTCGTTATTTTAGTAGTATAGATAGTTGTTTGGCGTAATATATGTTTATCAAAAGAAAAGTATTTTTATATTTTTAATAAAGCATAAATTAAAAGCAATTCTTGTGTATTGCAACACTTACGACTAAAGTATACTGGCTGTAATTCGTTAACGGTATCAAATGCATGCTTCCGTGTTTACCGAATCATGATTTTCGATCATTAATAATTTAATCTCAAACTCATCAGTTTCCATCGTTTTCCTACTTTAAAGAATTTTTTGCCTGATAGTGACATACTCTTTGTTGCATAGTTAACAATGGTGATAATAGGTGCAATGTTCACAAAACAATCACAAAACCTCAGCTTCAGTTCACCTTACACAGTCTCAAATTGATTACCTATTTAAATATTCAAAAATCTAAGTGTATAATTTGCCATATTCCGCTTAACGTATCTGAAATAATGTACCTTCCTATAGGATAAAGGCTTTCTTTATGATCTTGGTTAGATAAACATGATATCTTCATTATTTGAAACTGCCTTTGAACTATCTGTCATTTACTCTGAGTGCTCTTAAATCGGCATTCTATTCTTTTCTAAATTTTGTGGTTGCTTTTGTGTGCTTCGTAAGTACTGTATTGTTTTGCTGCTATTCCATGACAAAGGAAATGTGAGCGCTTACATGAATGTTTAACTGTTTAACCACGCCAATTTTTTGTATTTCTTACGCCAATAGCATCAAGAAACATAATGTACAGTGGTTGTCGTTGATTTCTGTAGTATGTTTTTCTTGTTTTTTTGTTTTTTTTGTTATTAGCTTTAATTAGGTCTATTTTATTTTTTTTGTGTATTGTTTCACATTATTTGGCCCGTGTCCTTTATATTCCACACTATGCCACATACTGCTATCGTTGCGTTCCACACGGCGACATGTAGTTGTTCATAATCCTATCCTTTCGAATAAGGATATTTTTCTCATATACAGTTCAACCACATTTCACAATTATTGCATGTACCTCAAATTTCAGCAGAGTGTTTATTTTCCTACGTTTTAATATAAATGCTATGTCTTATTTGATTGATGAACGTCAAAGCAACCAAAAGGTTAATCAACGTTGAAACCCGTATCAAGACATCATATTTGATAATTTATACACAAGGTAAATGATTTTGTAAGTGTTCATGAAATATCTATCTGGGCATAATTTTCAGTGCATTTCATTGGAGTTATATTTTTACAGAGAGCTAGAATTTGTGAACTCGGATTTTTCACTCTCACAAACTAAACAGTAATTCGTTCGAACTTTATTAAGTTTTTGACTGTGTTGACAAATATTACACACCAATAAAAGTCTTCAAACTCCATGTATTATTTTAGCAATCGAGCAATTTGAAAAAAGAAAATTGTTCCTAGGCGATCAATATGTTTTCATATTTTCAAATGTTATAGGACACAACTGAAAAAGACAAATGTATAAAAAAAAACGGCACCTTAAGAATCAAACAAATGAATACTTACAGCTTTCAATTTATCCTTATGAGTTAAGACAATCATGATTTTTGGAAATCCTGGTCCACTTCCTTTACAGTATGTGACTATTGTATTGATCCAAAATCTAAGGTAGTCTTGAAAACAAATGTCGAAAATTTGCCATCAGTGTACATTAAATGATATACATTTCGAGGACGTATTTCAATAACACATTATCGTAATTGCTTTGACCAAACTATCGTAGATTAAAAATAAAATTCTATCTGATGATAATTATACCATCACGTTATTACAAAATAAAAGACAGACGATAATAAGAATGTGGATGTTTTGAAGACTCTTTCATTATGCAATAGTATTAAAACATTTCTACATTTCACTAGTATTCCCCATTTCGAACTAAAGACGAATTGAAATAGTTTGTCCTGCTTTGTTTCATAAAACAGAATTGACAACGTAGATACAATTATCTGTCTTAGGAAGGGATAAATCCTACTTTGTAAAACATCACTCTGATTCAAACAAAAATTTCTCTGAAATTATCAAGATGCTTGATTTCTTGATTGACATCAAATTTGTTACGTTTGGAGGACGTGATTTTCAACAAACAATCGGCATTCCAAGTGGAATTGAACAAACAGTGCCCCTCTTCTTGCCGACATGTTCTTGTATTCATATGAGATTGACTTCATACATGAACGTCTTAGGAAGAAAGAAAAGAAGTTATCAGTATCCTTTAACTTTACTGTCTGCTTTATAGATGATGTTCTCTCACAAGATAATTCAAAATTAATTGACTGTGTTGAATCTATCCCATCGAACTAGAGATAAAATATACTGTTGAGTCTGCCTCATATCTTGACTTACATCTAGAAATTGACAATGAGGGTTGGTCGAAAACAAAACTTTACGACAAAAGAGATGATTTCAGCTTTCCAATTGTAAACTTTCCATTTCTATGCAGCAACATTCCAGCAGCGCCTGCATATGGAGTATATATCTCCCAGTTGATACGATATTCCAGGGCTTGTATTTCCTATCATGATTTCCTTGAGTAAACGTTGCTGCTCACAAGGAAGCTTTTACACCAAGAGTTCCAAGTGGTGAAGTTGAAATCATCTTTTCGTAAGTTTTACGGACGCCATCACGAGTTGGTTGACCGTTATGACATATCCATGTCAGCGATGATAGCGGGTATGTTCCTAATGTCATAACAACAATCCCGACACCTTTTTTATCAGAATGTGACATACCGAATTAAACTTATTACCGGGTTTAAACTAATATGAGCAACATGACGGGTACCCAAATGAGAAGCAGGATCTGCTTACCTTTCATGAACACCTGAGATCACCCGAATTTTTTGGTTGGGTTCGTCTTGCTCAGTCTTTAGTTTTCTATGTTGTGTTGTGTGTACTTTTGTTTGTTAGTTGGTCTTTTTCTTTTTTAGCCATGGCGTTGTCAGTTTCTTTTTCCACTTATGAGTTTAAATGTCCCTCATGTATCTTTCGCTTTTCTTTTTAAATCTAAACAATCTTCGATCTTGTTTTAAACTATTTAAGAAATAATGTGAAAAATTAGTATTAAAGAAACGAAGGATTATATTCTCCGGGTATGTTTCCATTGCTTTTGCTCTCAGTAACATTAGTAATTTAGTTGCATAAGAACACCACCAACAGTCGAATTACAAACACTTTGACAACGTTTGATAATAATAAACATACAAATGATAATTCAAATGGGGATAGTTTGAAGATCTTTTTCCGCAGTAAATGTGCTTAATGAAAATAACATGTAGTGTACCGGTTGAAAGTTACAACGATGATTTAGAATAACGATATATACGTTAGGGTTCACAGAAAATATTATTATAGGATAACAATTTCAGCGTAAACGGCGTGTTTTTGGGGCGAGACACGATCTCTTATTAACAATATTGTATCCTTCCAAAGTGACTTGTATTTAAACATTGACAGAATCCTCAGTAAACAAAAGCATTGCTAAAAGTTTGTCTCCCTACTCTTTTTTTTTTTTGTGGTTTATGTCATATAATTTGACTTTCTGTCTTTGCTGCTCCTTCTGATTTAATAACATTGGAACTTTCATAGCATCCAACTACATAATACTATCAAACATTTCATTTTTTTAATGTGGTCAATTTATTTTTATGTTCCCCATGTCATTAGCTTGATAATGACGTATAGAAAAGCTGAATGCATTTTACTAATTTCAGATTTGATAATAAACAATCATTAACTATAACTTTTTGGAATATTAGTTGTAATATTTCAGTAATCGTCATTAGTCTGTCATCAGGGGATGGGAAGCTATGATATTCTGCAATATTAGCTATTAGCTATTGTTGACAAGCCCAAAGACAATTTTGAGACACAACTTTTTTGGAAAGCTATATTACCTGTCTACGTCAAAGCCACTTTTCTGCACTCGAGAACATTTAGGAAATAAGATTGAAACAATTTCTGGAGATATATATATTGTTTGAGAGCATGCAAAGTGAAACATGCAGCGATTACACAAGTTGCTGTGCATGATAATAGGCATCACTGGCAGGACAATGGATTTTCTTTTCATATTTTGAAAACATCTGTGGCCGTAAAATCATATGGGATTTGGGGTCGATAATTTTGTACATTTAATCCCATAATATTTTCCGGTTGATGCAATAAACAATTTACTCTTCAAAATTTACTTTACCTCGTGCTGTTTTACGTCCACTTTTTCCAGGCAGATATTGTGCAAATGGACAAGGATCATCTAGGTTTCTACTACCATCTAAGACTATTAAATAAATAGCTCGGTATGTGAGAAATGTTTGATGTGTACTATAGAAAACATCTTGTCCTCCAAAGTCCCATATAATTACAGGAGCTATTTTCATCTGATGTAATTTCTTCTTGCCAGCTTTTACTGATTCCTCCCAAAATTTTTCTTTTGTCATAGACACCTTTATTTCTTTCACATCTTTTTTAACCCCAAATAGCTTCTGTAATTTTCCAATAATGCCAGGGTTTCTGATCACTTCGGAAGTAATACTTCTTTCTGGGAATCCGATGTCTGTTTCTAAATGAGATTCACCTATAGAACAAGATAATCTGTTATATAAACGGCAATAGTTTTATGGAATTTTTTTCGTAAAAAAGAATTATCGTACGATAAATTTATTATATTTATGCGCTTCTTTTAATTTGGAAAAAAAAACAAAAAGGTTAACTTGACTCATCCTAACTGTTTTGCTAGTCTGTTGTAATTTATTTCCCCTTCAAAATAGGTTGATCAAACCTCCCTAGAAATTTAACCAAACTTGATTGAAATGTTTCTTTGCTAGTCTTCGATCATTTGTCTATTGGGATTTACATTCTGAAATTCAAGATATTAAGATTCGGCATTTTTACCCTTGCAAATACATACACACAACATTTTTTTAGAAAGATTGCTTATCACAAATCAAAACAGAAAGTATTGTAACTTTACTACAGTGACGTTTCTTCCTCAGATTCAAAATCTTTGCCTTGATTTCAAACAGTACGTGCATAAATTGACATGACTAAAAGCTAGAATTTTATATGCCTATACACAGTAATCAATACTCTTTGAATCTATATTAATATTTTTGCAATGATATGGGCAACAGATAAGCATCAGTAGTAAATGAATTTAAGCCTGAAGCGGTAATTTTGATCTCCCCGGGATATCAAAAGTTGGATAATAAATAAACATTCATATTCAACTTATCAGTCAATTTTCAGACTTGTAGTAAACTTAGTATTTTTCACACAATTCCATTGTAGTCAAATCAGTATTGTTCAGTATGATGTGTCTGAGTACAAGTAAATAACAGCTACATATAATGAACAGTCTGAACATAGACTGACTACAGATCTTAATTGGCTGAACAGTACTGAATTAACCTGTCTGGAAGTTTGGAAATTATCTGAAGAACTGAAAATGACGTAATAATTTATTGCGAAGTCTTTCAAGAGCTGTTCAGATCACAATAACCGTTTAAGATTAAAATTGGTTTACTAGAGCATGGTCTCAACATATAATGTAACAGTCTTTCTTGCAGTCGACGCACCTGGTTTCGTTCATTTTAGAGTTTAAGCAATTCACTGTTTTTGTTTGTTACCGTGATCTAAGGAAATGCCAGTACCAAGTCAGGGATATGAGAGTTGTTTTCCATTCGTTTCAGCTTTTGTGTTTGCCATTTGATAAAGGACCTTTCGGATTGAATTTTCGATGGAGGTCGGTATTTTTTTTTTTTTATTTCTCTTTTTGTTTCAATCGATTTCCGAGATTTAAACATTGTCAATTTACAGTCGGCGTAATTAACACTAATACAGAATATGCTGGATTATAGGTTTGTTTTCATTCGTTTTTTCGACAAGCAAGGGAACCGCGATTTTATTGCTGCACTTCTTCTGAAAGTCAGAATTAGGCCTTCAACACGGAGCATAAACTATAACCTCAGTACAATTTGTAGACGGCCACTATCTCCGGTTTGAGTGTAATTATCTATATTTTATCAAATGTAACATTTAGGGAGAGAATTTAAATGATTAAGCATTTTTTTTAGATAAGTTTTATCTGAAATGTTGTATTTGTTTCTTTTTGTATTAGGTATATGATATAAAAAGTAACTGAACGTCATTCTGCTTTTCAATACTTATCGTAAGGAATTAGCCACCGTTATCCAACATTATAACATGTTAAATTATACAACAAAACGTCAAAACAAATTTAATGTGTAGAAAACATGCTTGTTTTATGTACAGAACATCATGATCATAGTTTATATGAATTCGATTGAGGCAGGTAAATAGCTAGTTTTCTTGTTTTTGACATAAAAATATATCGCAGTATGGTGTCATCTATTTTAGAAAGGTTAATGCCACGACACAAAACAACAAACAAATATATTCTGTTAGATGAAACAAAAACTGGAAATTCAAAATTTTAAGTTTATGTCCTCTACAGTTTTAACATATTGTTCTAGTAATATATATATGCTAACATGTTTGGGTACCTATTTTGTTGCTATCAAGTAAAGAATGGTTATGAAAAAACAGTATTTTTTTTATGATAAGTGATAGTCACCTAATTTTGGAATCGAAACTGACAGTTTCGTTGACTCAATGAAATTTGTTGTAGTAAAACCAGAATGAGATAATTCTTCTTTTTCTTTAACAGGTAGAGATGATTCATTTGTTGGAGTCACACGTTCCTCAAATCTGTCCGTGTTATTTCCATGTATAACTGGCAATGAAGGTATGATGGTATTGCTTGTTTGTAATTTTACTTCCGTTGATCCTCCTTGGAAAGCAGCAGATAAGGTTTCTGCTGTTTTTAGCTTAGTTTGCTTTCTTCCCAGTGTTATTTCAGAAATACATGGCGGCTCAATATCATCAACGTTAGTGCTTTGAATATCTTGCAATTTGTTACTCTGGACAGACAATTGATCAGTTTTGGTACTTATAGTACAATATTCATCTCCCTGAAGTTCTTCCCCATCAGGTATTTGAGCAACCAAAGTCGCATCTCTTTTGGTATGTACAGTATCATCAAAACATAATTGTTCACTCGGTGGAATATTCTTGGAATAAGGATTACGATTTGCTGATGCATCAGCTACTGACGGAAACGTTTCAAATTTATATTGTGTAAGAACTCGCTTATCAAGACTATTTTCATCTTGATCTGAAGGGTTATCTATTCCAAGTACTTTTGTCGATGTATCTTTACTTTGTCGTAATGATCTACTGATTGTGACCTCTGACAAGGTAAAGTCTGAAAAAAATGATGGAAAAAATATGTTATGGTGCTTTTTATTTGCAAGTTTCGAGTGATAAGAATTTTTAATTAGTAAGAAAAGAAAATCCAAATTGAGTTAAAAATGGAGTTATATACCAGTATAATACTGTAATTTATATTTAATACTGTATCTTAGCATATCATTCCACATAATACATATTAAGCAGGCCGACTTACGAACTTTCTAAAAGATTAAATTATGTAATTTTGGGCTTTGGTTTCTTAACAATTCCCAAATGTTAATCATAGTCAATTTGGTTGCAGTTTGTTATAAACTACAACACTTGGCTTCTAAAACAAACTTAATATTAAGTATTGTTCCTGCTGATACCCGAACCAATCTCATCTGCCAACCTCTCTATCTTTAACAATACCGGCAATACAGTTAATGTTTAAAGTATAAATTTGAAACTTTAAAATAAAAAGGTGATATCAGACAGCCTAGTTTTGCTATTATAGGAGAACATGAGATATAAGGTTTACATAAATCACGACATAATATCACAAAGACTAAAACACAACACGTAGGGCTTTTATGCTTTCCTCCTTCAACCAACACAAACCACCAGAGGTTTGACATTCTGTTGTATGAGTCAGCAAGTAGCTCATGTTTATACATTTTATTGGGCAATGCATAAATGAAAAGAGAAACATGAGGGGAGTTTTAACTCTTAAAAGTTCGGGGCATATAAATGTTGAAAATAAGCCGCACAGCCCTATATTTTGACCTTTGAAAAAAAAAGTAGTGCATATGAACTTTCCATTCTAGGGCCTATTTCATCGACTTACATTTATAGCAAGTTAAGTTAATGGAATACATAGTCAAACAGCATTTAACTTAAAACCTTGAAAACACCAACATCCTCTTTAAATCTCCTACATGGCATGCGACATTCACGCTCACGTGAAATTAGTTACTTTAATTCATACAAGAGTTATCTGAATCTAAAAGTCAAATATCCAGTAGTTTTTTTTCTGTTATATGTTAATGACAACTTGCAAGATTGCTGGACCCCCAGTTAGCTCAGACTTTTCACAGATGATATTATAATACTTAGTATACAGACCGATAAGATCCCTGAGTTACTTTAATTAGATTTAAAATTACTCAATGTTATGTATCTAGATTATACAAAGACGCATACAACTTTCACAAAAAAGGTTTTAAAATCTGGATTATTTCAATAATAATAGTAACATTAACCCTTCATATTTCATAGACTAGTATCCTCTTGTTGTTACTGATGTTAGTAAACAGTCTTCGAATTCAAGAAATCTGTGGTTTATAATCAAATCAGACCTGAATTCGAGCACAAGCTTCTAAAAAACACCGGAGCATTTGCATTAGTGAATCGGATGAACGAAAAATGCACGTCATATATTAAAGTAAATAAATGAATACACATTCATTACAGCAAACTATTGATTATAGCATGTATAGAGAGTGAAATTCTTGCAATATAGACCATACACTTTGGTATTCAGCTATTATGTCAGGAAACGATAGCCAGCTATATATTGGATTCTATCCAAGCATTTACCTGAAAACTGGAAGAGTCATGAGATGGCTTTAGTAAATATAGATACTTGCTACCCATTAATGTGTAAAATAACACCCTCCGAACGAAGATGCGAGTTGACTCATCATTTTATCAAACAATTGTTCTTACAATATCAAAGCCATCAACAATGAAATTCAACGACATATATAACTGAATAAACATAAAGCCAAATCATCATCGGTGCCAATAGCAGCATTCTTATATCGGCTGTCTTTAGTCAAAAACTATCAAGTCAACTTGAATGTTAACAGCGAATTTGGCATGTGGTATGGTGATGTAAAGGGTGGAAAAAACAAAGGTTTTTGACAGAATTCATTTCAGAAAATGACCGAAATTTAAAATTTCCAGAAGTTCTTTAAAGTTCTTCAGAATCCACTTATGTTTAATGCCACTACACGAGTAAACAATGTCGCAGCACTTCTGTAACCCTCCTTCACTGCGGACAAAATGTTGATTAACCTAACGGTGAATTCATTTGAAGAAAATGCAGATGAGCCTGTATTGTATCATTGTTTGTACAGAGGCTTATGATTTTTAGGTATCCAAAACAAACAAGATACGACCTTAGAACTGTTGTTCATTAAAATATTCAATAAGGCCATGAACCACATTGGTTTGACAACATCTGAGCTTTATCAAAGGTTACATTTTTGTATGTGGGATCACTCGCGTGATCACTTATTCCTAATTACTCGTAGTAATAGAATTTACATAAAAAAAGCATATTGTTTGAAGCTTTGTCCTCAGGAACAATAACATATTTGTCCTGAAGAGACTTCAGAGTTTCCGCAGCATCTTTGTTTCTGAATACGGATTTAGGTCGAACACTTACAAACTTTTTCAAACTTCTTGTGGATTCTTCATTTTATCAACGACCTAATTGCTTAAACCCATTCTGACAGAGTATCTAGTTCAACCTTTTCTCGTTTTGCCTATGTTCTGTTGTAATCCTTAACGGAATCCCTTATTGTTCTCAATTTTATTGTGGCTCTCTAAATTTGGAACCATGAGATATCACCTTCCTGAGATGTTCGTGTTGAATTATCTGTGCGTCACCAGTAATGACTTGGCCAAAGGGCTTGTTAATATATGAAGATAGAAAACTATTACATGTAAGAGGGTTTTTCAAGTGTTCTACTTAATCAAGAAATTACAATGTTTGTTTATGGTAAGATATTTTCGGTCCAATAGTTTAGGTGTAACTATAGGAGACAATTGGAACAGACTAATTTCAAAACTAAAGCGGAATTTTAGAGGTTACTTTATTTGTGATGAAGAACGTTGCTGATGTTGATGGCGTCGACTCCTTTTGATTGATTTTGAATTTGACTAAGGTGAGAGAAAAAAAAATGTTCTCTGAAACAATTGGTTTTTTATTCTACCTGATTTATTTGGTACTTGATTTTTTTTAACGATCACAGTTTTTAAATGCACGATTTGTGAAACAGATATTTTATAATTATCTGAGACCCAGCAAACGCATGTAAAATATAGCATAGACACTTTTCCTGTAAGTGTTTGTATGCATTACCCTTGACTGTTGATTTGATTGCTACCAAGGGGCTCGCTATTACTAACTTTTGTATTGAACAAATCTACAGTAGATCTAAAGATAAACATTTAGACCATATATATAAAGGACATATTAGTTATGGCCACCATTTTTTAGTATACATTCTAGGTTGTACGGTGTCATGTAGACAATCACGGTAGAATGTAATACAGCCATTTTTCATGTGAATGAGTGTGGTATATAAAGTTTATACCAAGGACAACGATACACGATACATGTTCATATTAATGTTTGATTTGTTTTGTTATTCTCTAACAGGACAAGGTTCACTTTAGGCCAAATATGGCTTTGAATTTCTACTTTATCATACAATTTTTAAATTGCTATAATTTAATTCTGATTTCTCCGTTAAAATAATCTCTTCATAAGAGTACATCTTTGGTTTCAGAATCAGCATATTTTGGAAACATTGTCAAAATACGATGGTTTTGTACATTTGTCGGACCTAAAAGCTTGAGAAAACACATGGCCGCAACCTAGGATCCAAAATGTTCTGTAACCAAAAGTTGCCAATAGTTGATATTGAATCCTAAAACACAAAACCTTTCAGGATCATGAGTGGCGTCCAAAGTAATTAAGCAAAAAACTGTTAAGAATTATTAACAATTGACCAAAACTGAGGTTATAACACATATAATGCATACTTAAGGAGTCAATGCTTCGTTCTTTTGTATGTGATTTTACAAAATGAAGTTATGTTGTATTAATAATAATATCACAAATATTCTGTGTATAACTTGTAGTACTTTGACATGATTAATTAAAACAAAAAAATCTAAGGGCCAATTTTAACCCTTCTCCTTTGGCTATATTGAAATCACCTTCACTTCTTGTCTGTGAATACTTTGATGTTTTAAATATTTTGAATGAACTTCACACTCATTTCAGAATGCATTCATGTTTGGTTAACAGCTCAATGGTGATGTGTTGAAGGCGTGTGTTTTTTTTTTTTTTTTGGATAGGTCAAAATAAAATAGAGAATGGAAAACAAAAAACTACTTCCTGTTTTTCAATACCTTATTCAACGAGTGGAAGTATGCTCAGCATGACAACACGTGCACTCTTTTTTACCTTCCATTACCAGGTGAATTTCCCATAAATTGAAAGAGACTTTATGTAATGAATCATTACAGTGCCAAAAATATTACCTTGTTTGCCATGCATCCATTCTTCAGTTTCACGATCAATAAATGACAAACCATTATACAAATCAATACCATCAGTCGATATTCTGATTTTAGTCGGACCTTTGCCAATAAGATATCTTGCAATTGTAGTTTTACCAGTTCCTTGCTCTCCTGCAAGCATTACACGGGCTTCAAAATGAAGATATCCTTCTTCTTCTAATAATCTGGTAAATATTCTGGCTGACTTTTTGTCAAGTTCTTTAACTTCTACTGGTAAACCTATTAAATGGTGTTGGTTTTCATACGTATATCATATTTATGAATAAAACTATTTTTTTAAATGAATAACAGTGATAATATTAGAACAAACATAATAAAACACAACTGTTTGACAGGGTCTCGGTAGTTCAAATAATGTATCACTAGCATATCATATTTGACGATAAATGATCACAAATTATATGATTACAAAAATCATAATCAAGTGTAACATGTATACTATTTAACTTGAAAATTTGTTATATTTAATACATTTAATATGCAGTTTATTTTAATCTAATGGATAGAATAACAGTAAAATTTCATATAAATTACAAACATAGATTGTGATATTTAATTGTGATTCTGAAAAATGGAGCGAATGCAAGTACCAAACAAATATTTGCATTTGATGAGTTATTCATAATGACAAAAAAAAACAGGATAACATATTGTGTTGGTACTCCAATGCCTGTTTAATTTCAAGTATAAGACCAGTTGTTGTCGTGATTGCAATGATTGCACTTTATGGCCCTCAATATACACCCATTAATTAAAGATGAAATAAGTTTCTAGTTAATGAATCAACATGAATGATGAAAAGTACGATTTTTTCCGTCTTTTTTAAAAGGCGCTATTATTCAAATTTCAAACATGCAAAATCAAAGACATCTTAGTGGAAGTTGACAACTACATATATAAACTTATACGCTTAGAGCGCAAGGTTCGAAAACTCAATAATCGAGTCAAATATGGTATAATGTAGCAAACTTAATTCGATGCGTGTGCTATATAGTTATAAGAAGATGTGGTATGAGTGCCAATGAGACAACTTTCCATCCAAGTCACAATTGTAAAAGTACACCATTAAAGGTCAAAGTACGGCCTTCAACACGGAGCCTTGGCTCACATCGTACAGCAAGCTATAAAGGGCCCCAAAATGAATAGTGTAAAACCATTCAAACAGGAAAACCAACTGTCTGATCTATATAAAATACGAGACACGAGAAACACTTATGAACCACACCAACATACGACAACCACTGAACATCAGGTTCCTGACTATATGTACTGATTTGAGTAAAATTTAAATGCCTACTCTTTTTATCCGTAAACTAATGCTGATATGTAAATATTTATACGAAAGATCTATATGTTTCTAAATATGGTTAATGATTTTAAATGCAAAGCTTAGATTAATTATGCATTTATTGCAACCTGCCCATTTTTATCAAGCCAATCATTGCTTAACAAGTATAGAACATTTTATAAGATATAGACAACAGGCTATTTTTCTAGACATTACTTACCTAACTGCCAGTACTCTTCATATTTCTTGAAAGATAAAAGACAATTGAAAAAAGAACATACTGAACGAAAAATAAACGATAAACATGTCATTCTGAAACGAAAGTGTCATCCGAGTAAAGGAAAGTCATTTGGACGAAAAATAGTATGCAATTATGTGAGCGTTTATCTTTTATATTGTCTTAGCATATATGTTTAAAGAATTTTATTTGCTTGAGCAATCAACTAAGTACAAAGACAAATTATTCACTATTCATTCGACAGCATATGTCACTTTGAATTTTTGCAACTTATAATATATGTTCATAGCAAACCAACTCTACCAGTACTATAATATTTTGAAGTTTATTTTACCCAACAAATCAGGTTCTAAATCATAATTTGTAAAACGTTCACTCCATAAAAAACAAATGATGTACACAAAAAAAATATAAAAACTAATTGAAATAAAAACTTATATGTGACAATATGATATATATAAAATTCGAACAAAATTAAATGATCGAAACAAAAAGAATATAATGCACTGACGATTTTGATACAAATATGATCGGAAATTAATAATATAACAATTTTACCCTTTGTATGAGGTCAACACAGGATATATCGACCCAAAGAAGTATATCGACCTCGGACTTCGTCCTCAGTCCATATACTTCTTTCAGGTCAGTATATCCTTGTATCGACCTCATACAAAGGCTATAATTGTATAATAGCTTGTTTACTATTGTTTTAAGAGCTTACTACAAAATGTATATTGTAAATATAAAATTGAAAATGACAATAGGCAATCTGTCAAAGAGACAACAACCCTTCTAAAGAGCAGAAAACAGCTCAAGGCCACCAATGGGTCTTCAACAAAATCCTGCAACCCGAAGGCGGGCTTCAGCTGGCCCCCAAAACAACAATGTGTACTAGTTCAGTGAAAATGGACGTCACACTAAACTCCGAAACATATATGAACTAGATTTCTTTTTAAATACAAGACAAACAGAGGCTCCTGACTTCAGACAAACGCAGAATGCGGCGAAGTTAAACACGATTTGTGAGATCTCAACCCCCCCCCCCCCCCACCCCATATACCTCTAACCAATGAAGAATAAACAAAAGCACAGTAATACGTAAAATTGTTTAAAATTACCAATATTTCTTCCTTTTATCAAAAATAGTTCATTGTTATTTGAAAAAAGTTTATTTCAAAGGCCTCAAAATAATTTTTTTGTTGTTGAAAGTTTAATAATTTAAGGACAAAAATACTTAAACTTTTTGCTTTTGTTGAAAAAGAATGAAGTAATTTCTTGATTTTAATAGAAATTAACGAACAACCATTTGATTTAGTACTTTTTGTATATCAGGATTAGTTGGTTTTTTTTTATAAAATATGCTAAATTTCAGGGAAAAGATATTAAAATTTTGTTTGCGTTGCTTAAATTGCAAATATTTCTTCATTTATACCAGAAATAATGCAACATCATTTGCAATCAGTCATGAAAAATGCCTTTAGATAAGTGATTTTGTATAAGATGTGAATAATATAAGGATAAAGATACTAAAACTTTTGTTTGTGTTGAATAAGAATGCATTTATTTCTTCATTCTAATAATAATTATGAACCGCTATTAGAATTTAGTACTTTTTGTACATCAGATAGGTTGTTTTATACAAATAATGATATATATCAGAGAAAATACTAAAATAGTTTTCGTATTGATTAAAATTTCCAATATTTCTTCTTTTTATCCAAAATTATGCATTGATATTTGCAGTAAGTCATTTTTAAATGCCTCTGAATATTTATTTTTTTCATAAGATGTAAATAGAATGAGGATAAAGTTTTGTTTTTGTTGAATAAGAATGCAATCATTTCTTTTTGCACTGTTCTTTACAATCAGTTATTTCAATTGCTTCTGGATAAGTAATGTTTTATAACAGTTGAATAATATACTGTAAATAATACTTATTTTCTTTATTAAAGACATTTTTTTTTTTTTTTTTTTATTATTCAAATGGAAATTTTGAACCGTCAATTATTTTAGTTTTTGTTTTTATTGTTTATCAAGATGGGTTGTTTTTTCCTAAAATAAGATGACTACCTAAGTAAAGATGCTAAAATTTTGTTTGCATTGTGAAATATGGCAATGTGTTTTCCTTTTTTTTTTTAAATAATGCACTGTTGTTAGCAATCAGTTATTTGAAATGCCTCAGGCTAAGTACATGTATTTGTTTATAAAAATATGAAGAACATACTTAATCTTTTGTTTGTGTTGACAAAAGATTCAATCATTTCTTTATTTCAATGGAAATCATGAACCGCCATTCGATTTAATTACTTTTTGCACATCGGCACATATCAGAGAAAAGATACTTGAATGTTGTTTGCATTGTTTAAAATTACCAATATTGTGTTTTTATTTCTATCTATTTTTATTTATGATATTTTAATGATATAAGGATGAAAATACGTAAACATTTGTTTGTGTTGAATAAGAATGAAATAATTTCTCTATTTTAATAGAAATTATAAACCGCCATTTGATTTTAGTACTTTTTGTACATCAGGATTGGTTGTTTTTCATAGAATATACTGAATTTCAGGGAAAAGATACTAAAATTTTGTTTGCATTGCTTAAAATCCTTCTTTTATGTCAGATATAATGCAACGTCATTTGCAATTAGTAATTATAAATGCCTTTAAATACGCAATTGTTTTTAAGAATGAATAATATAAAGATAAAGATACTTAATTTTTTGTTTGTGTTGAATAAGAATGCAATTATTTCTTTATTTCTTTATTTCAATGGTTTCATTGTTTAAAAATATCAATATTTCTTCTTTTTATCAAAAATAACGCACTGTTGTTAGCAATCAGTTATTTTAATTGTTTTGGATAAGTTACTATTTATAGAATTTGAAAAATATAGGGATTAATACCCTTCATTGGATATTATATGTGTGTTGGGTTGTTTCCCCAAAAATATATAATGAATTTTTAGGGAAAATATACTGTATATTTTGTTTTCATTATTTTCGAGTGTCTAACTTGCATATTTTTATATTTCATTGAAAATTATACACCAAAATTTGGAAAAAATTATCATTTCATTTCATTTTTCATTACATTTTTGGAGAATTTATCAAACAGTCGCGATAAAAATCGTTTTAGCCCAAACCGGGTTTGAAAAAAAAACCTCAGCATAAACGACAATCACAATTCTTTAATTATATCTTAATTAAGTTTTATCTGCATATCTCTATTATTTTTTAATTCTTAAAACTTTGATGTATGATTAATAATAAAATGTCGAGCTTTTGTACTTGAACGATTCGTATTTTTCCGTGGTTCCATTTTAATCAAATGAAACGAAATTAAGATTCCGTAATTTGTATGAATTAAACACATGACGTAGTAGAATTCAATCCGTCAAAAGGTCACTCCGTTCGATCCGTCCGAACAGTCCGACCAGTCAAAGATTTTTACTATAAGTCTGACGGATTAGTGATGAGACCTTGAAGTGAACTTTACTGATCGGTGACTGATCGATGAACGTTAATGATCGTTTAAATAGTAACACCTAAGGTTGCAAGTACTGAATAGGAACAGTCGCATAAATGCAGCGGGGTTGAACATGTTTTGTTAAATCTCAACCATCCCCCTATACCTCTAGCCAATGAAGAATAAACAAACACACGGTAATACGCACAGTAAAACTCACGTAAAAAGAAGTCCGAGTCCGCTGTCAGAACAGGTAACAGACGAACTAAGCAAAATGACAATGATACACAGATTAGCAAAGGATTACTAGCAGTTACTGCTAAGCCAGCTCCAGACCTTAATTCCACTTATTGAAAGATTATGTCTTCATCATATGAAAATCAAGTACAATCCCTCTCGTTCAGTTTTAGTATCAAACCATCATAAATATATGAGAAGAACATAACTCGTATCTTGACAACAACTGTTTTAGTAAAAATGTGTTTATTTCCGAAGCAAAGACCCTTTGAAAGAATCAATATTAATTCCAAAATATGACATCCTTAATAACCTGACAACAGTATCGTAACTATATCTCTTCTGAATCAGTCTGTTTAAAGGTTTGGTTAGCTTTTGAGGTGAATGACGACACTTTTGTGCTTTGTATAGAATATTACCATAAAAGATTGGATGTGAAATACCTGATTGTATAAGATGTCTGCATGTTGATTTATATTTACGAATGATGTCCTTGTACCGATGAAAAAATTTAGTAAATGTTTTGACTAGTTTGTGATATCAAAAACCCTGGTGTAATAATGTTTTAGTTATACAGAGATTTCTTTTGTTAAAATCAAATACGTTGTTACATACACGATCGAATCGAACAAATTGAGATATACAAACACCAACTTAAAATGAATAATTAACAATAGGAAATGAAAAATCATCTCTTTTATCGTACATGTTGTTATTTATCTTATTATCAACTATCTCATTACTGACAGACCATCCAATTTAACCTTTTGCTTTTGAGATGTAACTCCCAAATCTCACTGTTCACACAAGGGTCAACATAATTTATTCATTAACTGTAATTAGCTATTAGCTGGATACTCAGTGTCTTTTCGTAAGTTGTTTTCATTCTTCGTTCCGATATTTTGGGTTTAGCCCATTCCAACTGATTGTTTACACATTGTTTGTATGTTGTGCTATTTCACCACTGTCAATGATTTTGGGAGGGTTGATTGCTTGCAATAGAAAAATAAGGAGATATGGTTTTTTATTCCAATGAGACAAATATCCACTAAAGTCCAAATGAAGTCGATTGTAAGCATTTATAAGCAATCGTACATCTTAAATCCTGTGATACTATGAATATGTTTTTCCCAAGCGGGGATGGGCACTTTTACTGACAAATGTGATCGATTAATAATGGATTACTTGAAATAAATATGTTGCCCTCATAGTCTAAAAATAAAACTCTTATTGAAAAGTATTCTTTACAGAGGGTATTAGCTACGATGTAGACAAACAATTCAAAATATGATTCTTTTTGTTTCAAGTTTTAATAAAAGCGGAATTTTGAACAAAAATAGTTTGTTATAAGCAGTCAGTTTGGACACAATTTGTCAAAACAACGTCAGAAACACCGCAGATGTATTAGTTCCTTGCAAATCAATAATCTAACATCATTGAATCCGTATTGATGTGAATTTCTATTTAACCCCTTAACCAGAGATGGGTTAAACATGTACTCGGCAATTGCAGCTATTAAAGGGAAAAGACTGTCAACATTCAAAACGAAACAAGGGTGAACCATATGTTTGACTGATTCGATTCACAAATAAATCGATCTTTTACAGGTAAAAACGGTGATTAACATATTTTTTAAAACCGATATCGTGAAATCAAACATAACTCAAAATTCAAATTGCACGTGCTCGCTAGCTACTTATATTTATAAGTGTGCTATATTTAGTTTTATATCTGGTTATATGACCTTCAGCAGGAGAAATGATTATAATTTAGATAAAATACAGTGAAACAGGTGATTGTATTAACGTGTGATGTTGCATTGTTTTTTATATTATTTTGATTACATTAGTTTTTCTTGCGACTTAAAGTGTTTGCTTTATTTATATAAATATCTCTACTTATGAATGTTTTTATTGGAGTACTGATAGAAAAAACAATCAGTACATTTAATACCTTAGTAATGAGATCGTCTTGATCTGACGTTAAACCTCACATAGAAAACAAAACATTAAAGTATAAAGATTTCAAATATGCTTTTTTGGGGATGAGTAAGATACCAACAAGTTTTTCGTTCAGATATCACCAGAGGCTGTTTTTAAACTCATAACTTTTACTGTTTCGTATTCATTGACTTTTAAAGTAAGTTTTACTTACACTAGGAACTACAAACTCCCTTGTAATACTCTAACCATACGGAAGTTTAACAAATATAGGCCTAGAAGCATAAACAGTAGGCAAATCCGGTTGTTATTGATTTACATATAGTAAACAAATGATGTTTGTTTTTTTCTATCAGAAGTAGGGATGATAAGAGCCTTCATGTAGTCCTTCTTTTAAATGAGTTACACACCAAAATATCTATAAAACTGTGTTGATATAATCGCAAAATAATGTCATATCAGTCAGCTGCTAGTGTATTCAAACTATTTGTACTTTGTGTGATAAAAATATCGATTATGACATACATTTACATAAACTTACCATTTTGTACACAATGAATTTAAAAAGTCAACACCATTGCTTTCCTTAAACTTATTTCTTACAACATCTTTAAACAATACATCTTGTAGCAAATAAAGGAAATAAAAGTATACCGCTGTTCAATAGTCATCAATAATTTAATTAAAACAAATCCCGGTCACAAACCAAAACCGAGGGAAACACATCATCTATAAGAGGAAAACAAGGGAACAACAGAATTACTGAACTGCTACAAAAACAAACTCCAACATACATAGAAACGAACTATTTGATAACAACTGACATATTACTGACTTGGTACAGGACATTTGAAGAAAAAATGGTGGGTTGAACCTGGTTTTATGGCTAGCCAAACCTCCCGCTTATATGGCAATGATAAGATTACCGCTAAAATTACAACATTACGTGACAGGAATACAGTACAAATAAACGCAAGAACACTTAGGACAGAGAAATACATAAATAAATAATATAATAGTGCATTACATCATATAGCAAAACCTGATGATTCTATATTTCATATATACAAACTAGTTTCAAGATATTTTGGCAGTTTTAATTGAAGTTGTTTATTTAGTCCACAGGCCCAGACGTGAATATCAAAGACGATTATAGATTTAAAGTGTTCGAAAAAATTATTCTTTCTATATTCAAATTTTAGGATTAAACATTGGCCTGATTATTCCCTCTCCTTTTTTTTCCACTGCGTAATGTTATCTCTCTATTTGATTGATGAAAACATGATATTGGCAAGATTCACGTAATTAGTACATTATTTTATCAGAACAAACCTATTATTGTCTATATAAGTGCATCTTTATGTGATAACATCAATTCAAGTATAGTTCTTTACCTTTAAAATCTGTTTGATATGTGAATTAACTGCGACGTGTCTTGGAATCTGTTTCTGTAGTTCATTTGTTTGAAATAAATAAAAGTTCATGCAATTTTCAAGATATATTTATCATTTAATGTATATTGTTTTTTTAAATACATATTTATGTTTCAATTAGAATGAAGATTTGTTGCAACGTATAGGCCTTTGATCAACGTATTAATTTGTGTTTGAAGTTTTTTCTTGGTATAATTTGTGGCTGATCTTGTGTATATCTTTGATCAAATGATTAATCGTCTGGTATAATTAGAATTTAAAACTCAAAGAGTACGGAAAGTGCGCTGTTATCTTAACTTAATCATCAATAGTATTCATACTTGGTCGATGGTTGATAATGGTTTTTATATAATATTTTTGGGACAAATTTTTATGCACCAGATGCGAATTTCGACAATAACTGTTACTTCAGTGACACAAATGTCACTTCAATGATACTCGAGCCATGTAATACAAACGGTGAAGAGCTGTTTAAACAAAAAAACATGTAACCAAACCTGGACGAGGATTCAACGCAATGCATGGGGTAGATGCATTCCTTAATTTGAATTGATATACAAAATGTCATAGTAAAAAGTAAAATCACAAAAATACTGAACTCCGAGGAAAATTCAAAAAGGAAAGTCCCCAATCAAACGGCAAAATCAAAAGTTCAAACACATCAAACGAATGGATAACAACTGTCATATTCCTGACTTGGTACAGGCATTTTCTTATGTTGAAAACGGTGGATTAAACCTGGTTTTAAAGCTAGCTCAACCTCTCACTTGTATGACAGTCGCATGACAGTAATGGATACTGGACTGGTGATACAAACGAATCAAAACAGTTATGAAGGCAAAATCAAATACGATTTAAAATTATCATCACTGAAAATGTAAAATTGAAAAGAAAAAAAATAACAACATCTGGCATAACGTCTCAGCAAAACCAGGTAAGGGTTTTGCTCATTCGTGGAGGCTTTTCGATGACAGTCTATTGAATTGTTATATCATTAGCAATCATACTATATCATATTTGTTTAAAAGTCTATCTGTGCCTTAGGGAAGGCTAGCCAGAGTGTTGCGAAAACAAATATTTAATTAACCAAGAAACCGAGTAAATCGGTAAAATCGTTTGAATTAGTGGATGATTTTTCAAATTGTTGTACTTTTTTACAAATATATTGAAATGCCACGGGTGACTTTTAATTTTAATCGTACAAATCGTCTATGGTTCAAATCATAAAAGTGTCAATTGTGTTATAGTCTAACTTTATTCTAATGATACACTGTTGATGTCGTTAATTATCCATTATTTTCCTTGCAAGGAACAACAAGAAAGGTTATATTAAAACAAAACTACAACAGTGAAATAAATAATGCTTTACTGTTGATTACAGTTAATTACTTTCTGGTATTATCACTCGTGGAAACCTCAAATGTTGTTTTGGCAATTAGATCTGCAAGCGCTTACGACATTTGTGTGTGGTTCTTTCAAAAAAGTATGTCAAGAAAAAATATTGATAAATGCAATAAAAAATATATAATGTCTCTTTTACCTTGTGATTATAAATTGACGGATTACAGCCCCTACTTATGAAAACTTGAACATTTTCTCTGTTGCCTTTTAAGGAAGCAACGTGTAATGCTGTATTTCCCTGGAGAAAACAAATATGTTCATATAAGTATTTTATGAATATCGGATGTTTACTATTGAATAACATACTTATATCTTATAATAAATCTGGAAGTATTATTGAAGTTATATTTTATCAAGTAAATATTTTACTGTGTATTTATGTAAAAATGTTAGGAGTTTATAATTGAGTAGATCAGAGAAAAACCTACAAAACTCATCTTTTACTACAGAAATAAACGTTTCATACTGTTCTAAAGGTTCGGACCATAGGACAGAACTGTGTATCATGTTTATAGTACTTTTGGTCGGTGTTAATTTGAACTAATTGAATCAGTTCTAATATCTCTTAAACTTTGACCAGGAACTGATTGTTGAAATAAATAAAAATATAATTTGTATCGATACATTCCAAAAGAAGTCTTGCAGTTATCTGCTTTTAAAATATTTTTGAACCAATTTATAAGAATCACATATTGCTCTGTCTATACCTCATTATCTATTTCGTTTGGATTACAATCGCTGTCAAGTAACACTTGAATGATGTCCTGATATGGCTCGATATCAAGTCTATCATTAGCTACATGTAATGCAGTTCTGCCCTGGAATAAGACAAATATGTATTATATCTTTACATTAATACATTGAACATATTGCTTTAGAAGATAACTAATTCTAGAAATTTGTAGTGAATCTGTTACAAATTTATAGACATGCACTACAGTAAGTACCTGTTGAGCAAAAAATAAAATTTGCATACCCTTATGCTTGTTGGATTTTCGATCAAACTGGGAAAATTTTTAAAAACAAACTTTGAATATCCAGTGTATAATAACATGCTTACGTGAAAAGAAAATGGTATGTTTCTTTATGTTATAGGTATACCTATCAATTCGTTTAGTTGAACTAGCTTTGATTATGTTTTGTTATAAAATAAGTTGAAAAGGTATGGCTAAATATCTAGTCTATCATTAGCTACATGTAATAAGTTTATACCATGGTATGATCGTATTCGTACCATACCACCATACCATAACACATTCCATACCATCGTACCATACCATGTGTTACAGTATGCCTTGCAATCAAGCATAGCACATACATTTGTATAGGAATACTCTTAAAACAAAAGCACCAAATCCGCATCAGAAGTATATTTGTCACTGCTTCCTTTTTATAATTCCTTAAATTTCACCACTGGCAATTCCAAATTAGATTATGACGTTGACCGTTCTCTTTGACGTAATCTACATAGTTAATGACCCCAATAATCTTCAACTTATTGTTAATTTCTACCAAAATAATGCTATGTCAAATATGTATTTGGCTATGAACTTGTTCCAATCAAGCGTCAATGATACGTCATTTGTAGACGATACGTGCGTCAGGTTTACAAAATTAAATGCATACTATATAAAAATCTGGCAAAAATAACAAAAAGCTTTTTATCAATAAAATATCATGAATATATATCCAGAAGTTTGTTTCTGAAAAATGGATAACATTAAATTGGCACAAACGTGTAGCTTATAAATTGATATCAAAGCAACGTTAAATGTTAAAAAATTATACGATGCCAGTAATATCTAACGACAGATGATACGGAATTATTAAGAGAGGACGGCCAATGATACCGCTTGTGCACTTGTTTAGCTAGTGCCTAATATGTGTAACAGCCTCTCAGAAAAATATATGTATATATATATATATATAGATAAAAAATTCCTAGAAAATTAACCTAACAATTATAGATCTGATTCCTTACTTCCTCCCCAATAGGGGCTGGAACCTGTACTTTTCCCTTATACGGCAGCACTGCCTATCATTGCGCTGACGCCTGTTAAGACTGGCACACTTATTTCGTCTTAAATGAACCGTAAAGATACATGCATTTAAGCACCATTTGTTACATTCACAATCCGATCTTAGTACCCAGAACCTGTCTTTAAACTTAGTTTTTAAAATGCATCTTTAATAGAAATATTGCAAACATTATTATCAACGATGACTGATACTTTAAAGAAACATTATATACAAGTCTAAATTAAAAACAACGTTCAAACCTATGATTTCGTTGGATAAAAACCGCAATTTTTATACGTGTGCATGCAAAACAACTTCCTTGGTAGAGGGGTCTAAATACAGCACAAACAACATTTTCCAAAAGACCAAAAATGTGAAAAAGTATATTTTAACAAAACGCATTTGACTAGCAGGTCGAACAACTGGTGCTCTTAAACCCTGCTGACTGCCATTGGCGATTGCCAAATAAACGGATCATAAGATATAACAAAATGGATCTTATTATTAGTTTTTTTACCAAACAGAAAACAATAAACTTGGGAAAAAAATTTTATACCGCAAACATGAGGTGCAAAAATTTGTACAACATATCCGGATTTCGACAATTAATGTCTCTTCAGTGATGTTAGGGATCGAAACGGTATTTGGAAGGCCATATAATTTACCTCAATTTAGGATAGACCCTTGAATTTTAAATATATATATCTGACGTTCAAATGTTTAAACATTTCCGGATGAAGGTAAATTAGAAAAAGAAGATCAAATTCACGGATTTAATAAAGTGTTATTTTCGTTTATCTATCAACACGCGTTCACTGAAAACCACAAATGGGCTATCTGTAATGTATTTGCAAAGCAAAAAAAAAAGCAAACAAAACAACACTTTTGCAATGTCATTAATTATATACTACCTTATTATCTATTTGGTCTGGATTACAGCCACCTTTGATTAATACCTTGACTTTCTCATGATCACCATATGCAGCAGCGTAATGTAATGCCGTTTTACCCTAAAATATAGAAATCATTTTATGATTAACACATACACAGACACACACGACATTTTTTTAGGATTGATCAACAACATTAAGTGGCATAAGCTTAAATACTTAAAACACCAACCTTAAATTTTCAAAGTTGGTAAAAATTATGAAAATATTGGTAAAATAGATTGCTCGTGAAAATAAATTGATTTACAGGATATGGAATAAGGCAATTATTCAGCAAATCAACAAAAAAAAACCAACATATAGTGGTCAACATAGTCTGTCTATTCGTAAACTATATTGCATAAATTAGCTGTTAGTTTTTTTCGTTTGAATTGTTTCACAGTTTCACATTGGCTTTTTTATAGCTGATAATACGATGAGTTGTTCTCATTGTTGAAGACCGTACAGTGACTTATAATTGCTTTTGTTTTCGTCATATGAACTACGGTTAGTATTTACTCATTGAACATCATACCAAATCTCATTATTCTTAAATTTCTTCGGTTAAATAGATGATAAGTAATTTAGGAACATAAAAAATCTACCATCAACCACATGTTGACCTCAGGGTGAACATTTGAAGAAAATTCAAATTACTTCAAATGGCGATGTCTTGACCGGGTCAATTAAATCCATTTCAATTGGAAACTCAGTTTTTAAACACTTCACCATATTACACTTTTTGTTTGAATCACTGGAAAAAAAGATACAAAAGTTCTTCCAAAAATTACTACAGAATAAACACTCCACTACCATGTACTACCGGTGCATTGTTGTATATGGAAACCTTTGCGCAATTCATTTCAAGTAGGTGGTAATGGTAGTCTTTTTCTCAATTCCTCTGCCCACATCGTAAAATTTGATATGCGTGATGATTCGCTTTGAAGCTGAGAGATTTTCACAGATGTGGTTAAATTTTCAGGGTACGAAGTGTGATGACTTTTTCACAAATTTGTCACTTGAGCAAGAATCAATTCCCTATTTTCACACGTTGAAATTTTATAGAAATTCAGTTCTTCACAAACTTTTAATAACTTCAAAGTTTCACATCTGTACATAATTTTGGACCCAAAGTATCGTTGATCTATCTCATCGAATTGCAAAAACATAAGAGATGCTGAAACGTTCTTTGCAATATAATAAAGCGTTTGTACTGTACCTCGTTGTCTGTTACGTTTGGTTTACAACCACCATCTAATAAAATTTGAACAATATTTTGATTTGCGGAGAATTCGAAAGCAGCTGCATGCAATGCTGTTTTCCCCTGAAATTAAAGATACATTATTGTCATTCTATATTCATGCTATACTTAAATAGGAACAACTAATAAAATACATTTTGTACTTAAGACTATTTTTAACTTGTAGAGCCAACTATATATACAGTCCAGGATAACATGGTTTTTTTTTATGATTGTAGCACTGATTTCTGAACACGTTTCAAAAATAACATTTCAATTAGTCAAAATAGGCATACATCAATGTTAACTATCTATAACTAGCAATAAAGGTATTACAAGAAATTGAAAATGCATTTATGCAAATTTTATAAAACTATCTAAAAACTTAACAATCTATCAATTTAACCGAACAATAAATGTGGCAATATGCTGTTAAACTCATTAGGTAAATCATTCATTGATCAGAATGGAAGAAAATTATACGAATTTACTTCAACATGTTCAAATCGTTCGTATGATTTCAAAATTGCAATCAAGATGTTAATGACCAATGCATTTCGGGAAAAAATAAACATGATGAATTTTGTTTAATGCGAATAAAAATCATATTTCCAACAAACATTTTAATATTACCAAACTAAAACCATAATAATCATTTGAGCTTCTCCAATACGGTTTTAAGATGAATTAGTCATTGACCAATCCAGCGTTTGTAAATAGTTTGGTTTCGGGCTTATGTAATGAGCAAAAAAAATTATCAAACAATCATAAGCTCACCTTGTTCTTTTTTTAAATTGAACTTCTACATGTTAGGTTCAAAAGACAAAAATTCAAAACTCAGCTTGTATTGTTCGTTTTAAATTGTTAAAAAATATTCTTTTGATTTTGAAGTTTTGAAAAGATCAACGTCACAGCAGTTAAAAATACATTGCAATCTATTTTCTTGACCTTACTCTTTTTACTCTATTTGTTCCTAACATTCACAAGAGAATTTTCTAACATACGATTTTTGAAATGCAGAAATGTAAGAGGTAAATCCCTGTATATTGAAAGGTAATTAGACAAGGGGAGTACTCGACAGTACTGTTGGGTACATTGCCATAGCTCACACGAAAAAAAAAATCTATAGGATACGCGGATATTCCAACAACATGTGTAAAATTTAAATGGTTGGACATAATTTACCAATCTGTTTATGCTCCTTCCGTTCAAATCGCAATTTCAAGTTTTCTTTTTTTGTGTGTATTGCAAGGCAAAATCCTTGCTTTCAAATTAAAGCCGGATATTACATTTTTAGGAACACGTTCTACGACCTATTCTTATAAAAAAAAGGACTAAAAGATCAATTATACAAAGTGAAGCATACAAAAGCGAATATATATAACATATATGAATAAGTTGAAATTAGCTAAACACTCAACAGTGTATCTCTGGTGATTATACTTTACTTTTCGCTATAAAGATGATGTTCTCTCACTAAATAATTCAAAATTTGGTGACTATTTTGAACGCATATATCCCATCGAATTTGAGATAAAGGATACAACAAATACAGTTAAGTCTGCCTCATATATTGACTTACATCTAGAAATTGACAATGCGTGTTGGTTAAAAAAAAAATTCTTTACAGAAAAAGAGATGATTTCATCTTCCCAATTATGAACTTTCCATTGCTATGTAGCAACATTCCAGTAGCGCCTACATATGGAGTATATATATACATCTCCTTGTTGATACGATTTTACAGGGCTTGTAATTTCTATTATGATTTCCTTAGGTAGAGGTTTGCTGCTCCCATGGAAGCTATTGAAACAAGAGTTCCAAGTGGTGAAGTTGAAATCATCCCTTCGTAAATTTTACGGACGCCATCACGACTTGTTCTAATGTCGTAATCAATCCCGTCCCTTTTTCTCGAATGTGACTGACCGAATTAGACTTATAACGATTTGTACTTACATGAGCAACACGAGAGATCCCACATGTGGAGCAGGATCTGCTTATCCTTTCGAAGCACCTGAGATCACCCCCATTTTTTAATGGGTTCGCGTTGCTCAGTATTTAGTTTTCTACTAGAACACAACTGCGACTGAATTAAAGTACATATGCCTTATTTAAGCCTGGATTTTAAGTATTCCTTGAGGCATCCGATGAGGTCATGCTGATTAAAAGAGGCACAGTTTTCTCTGGTTTCAAAATCTTTCTCATTGAACCCGTCGACCCAGAACTAGTTAGTTATTATTAATATTACTTATTTGGAAAACGAAAGGGCCTTGAATGGTCAATTTTTAATCAACACCATTGTCCTATATTAGTTATTTATCCTGCAATTGGGTGTCTTATACATTAATAGCACAGCAGATATCGCTAGCTTGTATCTGTATACTATACAGATATCGCCTTAAAGCTCCGCACACTGCCGGACTACGCTTGTGTTGTATGAGCCTCCGTGACCTCAGCATGTGTATTGCAGTCGCATTTTCTGCTAACACATGCACATGAACAGCAGGATTAAAAATGTAACTCCATTTTCTACGGCGCCAAATTAAAGGCAATCTTCAAGGTCGAAGCTTGAATGTGTACATGTTTAACACACGAAATTAGCAATGCAACAATGTCAATTTCAGCATGCTCAATGATTGTTCGAATATATTTGAATATTACTACGACTTATAAGTAAAATAAACAGAAACACATATATTTTAAATCGAAAGTTTTTCTGTCTTTCAAAACAAAAACAATGTACAAAATCAATTGCAGGATAAAGACAATAACTGTTAAGTGTCTTTAAATATCATCTGTATTTGTACTCGGCAAGAAACAGGAGTTATAGCTCACTGACGCTCGCAATACACCTGTTTCTTAGCCTCGTACAAATACAACTGATATTTCAAGACAATAGTTATTGTCTATATATAAAGTTAAATTTTTCGATTTGTCGTGTTTACGTCATGACGGCTAACAAATTGGAAAGTTCCTTCGCTGGATTTTTAGTATTCGTATTGTAATCAGATAAATTCAAGCTGATAAAAGGTGCACAGTTTTCTCTGCTTTCAAAATCTTTCTGTTGAACCCATCCTGTTTTTTTTGTTCTCACTGAAACCGGAAACTACATGTGAAAATAATTGAATTATGAAGTACCGATCCCGTATAATGAAAAAGATAGGGTGTGATTATGACCCGTGTATATAGCAATTCATAAATACACCGTGTGGTGGAGTGCCTGTCAGAGGCGGAACGTACAGATTAGGTAACAGGGAAGGTTGACATATACTATTGGTTTCGGTATCGGATTCGACCCGGAACTTGTTAATTATTCGTAATATATATTATGTGGAAAACAAAAGGGCCTGGAATGGGGAAATTTTCAATCAACACCATTGTCCCTTACTATATATAAAGTTTAGTTCTTTGATTCGTCGATTTTACGTAATGTTGGCTAACAAATTGAACCTTGTTATTTTAGTATTATAGATGTTGTGTTTTGTTTACTGTTAGTCTGTTATGACTTATAAGTTTTAATGTCCCTCTGGTCTGTTTCGCCTCTTTTGAAATGTTGAATATAAAAAACTTTGTTAGTAGTAATCATCAGATACATCTTGTATTTTCGTTTTATTCCCAGCACGGACATTTTTCTTTTCGGTTTATTTTAATAATCAGAGAAGACGGTTACATTTCATCCGTTGAATAGTGAGAGCGTTTGTTTTGGAAACAATGTGCGGACCCGACTAAAAGAGACTGTACATGAAGATGCAAATTTTTTAACATTAAAAGGGGACTTGCACTTAAATCAGAGGAGAAAATCGGTTACAGAAATAAGGCAGTGTGCAAGGAATATTATACATTTGGTAACATGTAAATGTTGAAAACAAAATTTAGTATCTAACAATAATCAGCCTTTAAGTTGATAAAAGAAGCGACTTCTTTCAAAGAACTAGTACAACTATGGTAGTGTATTCAGTATTTTTAAATACACTCATATTATATTCTTGAACCAGGTTTAAAATATTTTACGACAGACGAACGTTCCGTCTACAAAAGACTCATTAGTGAATCAAATAATTAAAATGGTCAAAATTAGTAACAGGTTAAATAGTATTAAAGACCTTAAATTTCAAAAGGTTTTGACAAATACATTTACGGTCATCTATTTCTGGAGTAAAAAAGTCAAAGTGTTTCGAACAATTCAGTAAATAATTAATTTACAAATATGATAATGTCAAAAATAACTAATGTCAACACATAATTTATAAGTGATGACTACTGGGTTCGTTAAACTCTCAGGTTGCAAACCTGAACTAGCAGTGACATTGTCCCAGTGGTTACTTAACAACTCATCCGATATATAATGGTTAAAATTGTGTATGCTAGACGCACGTTTCAACTACACAAGACTCATAGGTGACACTTGTTAAAAGTGATGCATTTTGTTATACATCCATATAATTGAAGCCCCAAAACTAGGACCACTACTTTATATAAATCAACACAGAAATTATTTAACACACAAGAAACTTTACTTGGTAAAGTAAATATCATTTATATTACCAAGTTATCTTTCTGATCTGGAATACATCCCCCTTTCAGTAAAACTTGTATGTTCTCGTCGTGGCCCCTTTCAACGGCGTAGTGTAATGCAGTTTGACCCTGAAAACACATTAATGAGTCATATTATTAACGTATTGTTCAGTGTAAACTGTTGACACAGAGATGAATCACATATTTATAAGTTCCATATTATATTAGAAATGTTGATTTTAAAGAAAAACAAACAGCACAAATGTGTACCCCGAACGTTCGAATTAAAACACACTGATTAATCATAAACAACTACTAACCCATTCGACATCATCATTCAAATAAGCAAGAATACACATTGAACACCTAATTAATTAATGTATTCTCTGTTAGAGCTTAAAGTTACGTTTACCAGAATGGGGAGGAAAAAATAATACCTCTGAAAGGTACAATACTGAAACAGTTGCATGTAACATCATTCATTTACCATTATTTGCTCATAACTAACGGTCAACCTTTTAGACCATAAACTTTGCGAATTGTTGACGACGCAAATGGCTGAAACAAATCAAACCACATCACATACAATGCTCGTAATTTGGTACGCCAAATGCACATTTCGTCTACATAGACCAGTCAGTGGCGCTCGAATGAAAATATTTAGGTTTGCCTCACGCCGGAAATAAGTTAACAAATAATGTTGAGTGAGGACCCACCCAATCCCCCTAAAAAATTTAACGTACACAACAGAAAAAACAAAATAACCTATGTGAACTATCTACTGTTTCTATATATTTTTAAAGAATTTTTGTTTATTCGATCATCTTAATATACCAATAGGCTTCAATTTCATTTTTTACTAATTTAAATATTCAATATTTTAATTGGGACGGCCGGATAGACATTTTTATTATACCTGTGGATCTTTTTCGTTTGCTTGACAACCACTGTCAAGTAAAATGCCAATGATGTCTGGTCTTGCATATCGTCTACTAGCAACGGCAAGTAATAATGTTCTCCCCTAAAATGACAAACACAGTTTTTATCAAGTAAATAACAGTCTGCTCCTTTAACCTTTTATACAAATATACTGTTACATATACGTATCATAATGAGCTCTGGTAATTTGGGTAGTACTCCGTCGATATAGGGGAAATTCGTATTTTAAATATTATGGATAAAAGGTTACTTGAGACTATAACATAGTTTATAAGAAACACTTCTTGAAGTAATATTACTCAAATATTATGCTAAGTATGGAATAATGGTATTTTTGTTTTTGATATTGACTTCATCAGCACAAATACCAAGCGATCCCACTAAGGCGAGCTGGTATCCGAACTAATGAAGTCAGTTTAAAAAAAAATGTCATTATCATTTTATCGGAAGTTTGTCGATTTTGGTTAAAAATATTAAGGTAAATGAAATAGTTAGTAAAACTACTTTCACGCGTACAAAATTAGGGATAGTTGTTCGGTTGTATGAATGAAGTCGCGTGCATTTCATTGATAAATTGACGCTGATGGACTTGAGCACGTGACGATTGCTGTATTGCTACATGACGTCATTGCCTAATATTTTCGAGTATCAAGTCCAGTCCATGATGGAAAACGTAAAAATTGACGATAAAGGTATTACTAACCGATTTGATAAAATCAATCTGATACGGTTACATTGCAATGGGTACTTCTGATGAAATTATTACAACGGTTTGCTCAATGGACTATAAGGGAAAACGCTGTATGAGCGTATACGAGAACCTAATCCCGCTTGCAAATGTTTTACGCCCAATCACATGTTTTTTTCTCTCTATATGATTCATTTTGATCAAATTTTGTTAATTCCAAACGACCTGAAAAGGTTAATTGAAACATTTATCATTATGATCAATGCAAGATGTACAGTATGTTAAATAGATTATTATTATAAATAATAATGCTCAATCAATGGTATTTTACAAAAAAAACAACTACACCAAATTGTGGCTTCAACATCACACGTTTCTAAAAGTCTTTTTTGTGATTGCTTTAACGTGATTACAATAGAATTAATACCATGTAATTTCGATTCATATACCTAAGCTTTTTACATGTTTTATGTCAAATCATTTCAAACAGGGTTTTTTGATTTTTAGATTAATTCTTTCGTATCATGTTCCTAACGATATGTGTTTCTTTTTTTATTTGTTTCAGGCTTTGCGTCATAAAACTTTCGAGCACGATTATCGTACTCAGACACAAAAATCAACGAATCAAAGTGTTGTATTTGTAGTTTCGAGCACACATTTTGTACTCCGAATACTGAGTACAGTTTTATGGTCGAGGCCTCATGTGCCAAAAAATCTTTTTAGATACTAAATTAAACAAATAAAACAATAAATTCCCTTTCAAAAAAAGTAAAATACATGAATCATCCAAAGTGTTAAAAGACATGCCAACATTTGATGAATTTCATGTATAAAAAGCTCTTACTTAGTTTAAACCTCAAACCTACAAATTGGAAAGCCAGGTGATATATAACAATTTGAATATGCGATAAGTATTTAAGAAACAGGACAGTCATCAGAATTAAGATTGATTGGCCGAGACGGTATTACCGCAAATCTAACAAGCCTGACTTAAATGATTGATTAGCTCTATAACGTTTGTATGTAATGTTGGATTTTCAAACTTTTTTGCGCTAAAGCATTACTATAAAATCTTTATTGTTGAAATCCGCAGTTGGTGCATTTTATTTCTTACGGTGAATGTTAATCAAGGATAATTGGATGAAGATCAAGGTAACCAAAAACTTTGTGTTATCCTGTTCTCCCTTCGAATGAAAAAACAAGAATTATTATATTAAATCAACAAACTGCTTTTGACATTTTCAAAGAACAATATTGTAAGAGAAATTTGAGCTAAAAAGTCTAGTCCTCCAAATAATAAAATTAGTTTTTACATATTGACGAGTAAATATCACACAACAGTATCATTTGTTAAATATCAATGATTTATCAAGTGCATTACTATTTCACTTCTGAATGTATCTTTTATAGTATTGTTTACACAAAATCAATTCAAAATATATTAGTCATGAATAGTGTTCCTATTCTCGTATCGAACGATACGAGAATAGGAACACTATTCATGACTAATATATTCAAAATATATTAGTCATGAATAGTGTTCCTATTCTCGTATCGTTCGATGTAAAATTAAAAAAGTATTTCAATGAAACAGTGCAATTTTGTTTATATGTAATTTTTCTCAATTCGCAAAATTCATCCCTTATACAAGGAATTTTTTTTTTTTTTTCATCAAGAATTATTTTTAGGATAATACGGCAACAATATGAAAAGAACAGGAACTTTAGTTTGTTGGCCGAGTGTTGTCCTTTCTATTCAAAATATAAGAATAACTTTGGTTTCAATATTTTGTTTATTACCTTATATTTATTGGACTTAATTCTGATTAGTCTTTTAGTATAATACAATCAGTTACATGTTCATTACTTACATTAACGTTTAAGACTGATTGATATTCATATGGTGAAAATGTAAACTTTGTTTTAACTGTTTTCCGACCTACACATAAATTCAATGCATTTCAAAAGAACTTCTGTATATGTGCGTTGATGGCTAAACGTCACATGCATGGCATGCATCACCTGACATGCGAATCCAAACTCAAGCATAATGTTACAATAGGAAGTAGAACACAATCGGAAAAATATTGTAAAAAATAAACTCATAACGTTGTCTGGATTCCAGTACGGAAAGGTTTACTGTATAATATATGAAAAAGATAATAGGAAGTACACACAATATTAAAGAGTGCAACACACCACATCAACATCCATAATTCCTTAGGAAATTCAAACATTCCATCAATCCATCAAGTAGACCACAATAAAACAGTACATGGTAAAAAATTAGCCTTACTTTGATTGCCGGAACGTAAAGCGTAACTATATGTGCCGTCGCCACTAGGTATATGACGTCGCGTATCTATGTAGAATATTGTAACTATGTTTATGCTTATGTTTGAATTGAATAATGAACTGTACAGTAGTATTTCCTTGAGAATCAACCTATATTTGGTTGGGTAATGTCAGTTTTACATGTAATATATATGTCAATATATCCACAAGAAAGGCTTGTTTGTTAATTATTCCAAATTGAGGAGAGGGGTAGAACAAAAAGGGAAAGAAAAATAATGAGATGCACACAGACATTAGTATAAGACTTTAAAAACATAGAGTGACGTTGTTCATTAAACATTACAATTGTAATTATCTGTATTTATTACTGGATTCCATAACCAATAGCTAACAGCTATATTTCTTTTTTTTCCGGATTGCCTCTGATGAAATATTGTTTCATACACCAAGTCGGAAATGCTTAATAAAAATAACTGAAATTCGATTCGATATGAGATGTGTTTTGATACGCAAGACTTATATTTAACTCAGATTCATCATCTTTGAATGAATACTGCTGTATCAACATGATCAAGTTTTATTACATACATTTTTCCAACCCGAAGGTTAATCTACTTTCAATTACTCTAGTAAACATAGCAGTCTTTCTTTGTTGTGTTCCAAGTTAATCTACGAGAAAGCTATGCGAAGTAGATCTAAGTAGTTAATTATAAGAAGACAAGGAATGTAAAGGAAAGGCGAAAATTTATCTAAAAATATAATGAAGTTGAGAAATCACTTAACACGTTTTATTATAAGATATATAAGCTACCTTCAATTTTTAAAAGGGTCTGAAAATTACAGGTACACATGTATGACAGGATACGCATTCATCCTGATCCACAGGTTGAACACCTTCCACTTATTTGAGTGCCAAAATATAACCCTTCTTCTCATGGTTTAATAATAACGTCTTACAAAAGAGTGAACAAACTAATTTGTCAAAAAAGTAATAATTGCCGAATATTAAACATATCAGTATAATACAACTTTATTATGAAAAACGACATATTGTACATAGAGCTAACATTCCATTATCGAACATATTCTTGTATGGCTGCGATCTCTTTGCGCATACATTTTTTCAGCTTCTGGCTTTTCAATTGACACAATTACACATTCTGAGAAAGCGTAATTTTGTATCAAAATATCAGTTTTTTTTTTTTTTGTTAAAAGTTTATAAAAAAAATGGTAAGTGCCTAGTTCGTTAAGCAGTTGCTACTTTATAATCAATCCATTCTTTTCTAATTTGTGCTAAGGGCCTACTTTATTAATGTATCACGTATACAAATCAGAAATTTTTTGCATAAAGATAATTATAATTTTAACCATAATGCCTTCGAATTTTATGAATAATCACACAAATGTCATGGACGAGAGATAAACATGCAGCATCAATATAATTTTTTCTACCAATATGATGATATTTTAAAATACATGTTTCAATGGTAATTAAGTATTAAGGGATTTGGAGTACAAATGGGCATAAACATGTAACGAAATTGATATTTTTATGACAGGACATTTTCAGTTTTTGTCAACAAATCTCTTAAAAACGTGGGGTATATGAAAAACAACTCATCTAAGATACCTAGCTAATAATTTTGAACACCAGACGACGCGTTAATTAAAACAAAAAAATCAAGCAACAAACTTGACCTAAATTTTCTATGGGAAAACGTGGGGTATTAACAACTTTCCCCTAGATTCCAAAGTAATACAAACAATATTATTTAATAAACAAATCCTTTTTTTGGAACATACCTTAGCAAAAATTTTGAAATTATGTTTGATCAATAATTTGAATATTATACATAAGTTATCATAATAAAAAGCTATCTTTAATAACTATGTGACTGTGTCTTTAATAATAGAGAATTATGAATTGTACATGAAAGGTCATACTAAACCAATTCTAGATTCCCAATCTTAGTTTTTAAAGCAAAAAACAAAGATGTTTTGATGTCTGGTTAAATTCTTTTTTTTTTTCTTTTTTTTCAGGCCTTTTAAAGTTAAAATTGCAAACTTTGAA